GAATGGCTATTATAACTATTCGCCTCTCGCTCTCGAGCCCCAAATAGGGGACAGTACGGAACGCAATGGACATTCGCACCCAGCAAACACGGGTGAAGCCGTGCAGTTGCTGGGGAAGAACAAAAATCGGCGTAAGAAAACATAGGCCTGTACGGGGTTCGAGAGTCAAGAGGAAATGGGGCTGGTTATACGTCTCTTATACTCATACTCATACTCACCTTGTTTTCTTTACAAAAGTGTGGAATCTACGTTGATAATTTCATACTTTTTTTCAACTCGAGATTTGACCCAAATTAATGTCAAAAATATATTATTTTATTTATTTGTAAACTAGTGTAAGAAGTAAAAAAATCTTAAAATCGCCATCCTGAGTATTGAGTTTTATCACTTTTCTTGTGCATGAGCATATTCATATATATAAATAACTATAATTGCATACAAAAATAAAATAAAAACATAAACATAATTTGCATAATTATTGGAGAGTAATTCCTTTTCGCACAAAAAATATTTCAATGGAAATAAATACAACTAAAACTCTGGAGAAATTATAGCTTGCTTTCGATTTTCATCCACTTGTACTTTTCTTGTTTGCCATCGGGTGTGGAAACAGCTGGTAAACGGGTCAATTAATAAAAAGTACAAATTAACTGTGGCATTGTAAAAATTTGCAATGAAACTATTGTGGGTCAGTGGTACACATATAATTATGATACTTTTCTTTTTGTACATCAGAATTTTATTAATTTTGTAATTTTTTGGATTTTCAATCTAAAACTTATTGTTTATATTATAATTTAGATAGGTATAACAGTTTTAGAAAAGAATATCGGAAAATAACTTAAAAATATGTGTTGGATTGCATAGCTCAATAAGAAGTTTTTAAACCATTTTAGTACCTTAAACCAAATTATACAGTAAAAGGGCCTTTTTAATAGGTTTAAGTTAAACTTATTAAAAAGGCCCTTTTACTGTATAATTTGGTTAATGATTTTAATTATTTTATCTACGTTTTTAATTGTGACAGGTGGGACAGGTGTTCGCAAAATGACCCCAATGCTAAACATGTAAAGATGTTTTTATCAATTACTTAATAACTGGCTTATTTATATTACAAAATGTATTAAATAATAAAACCGAAATTATTAGTAATTTAATAATGTCTGGACAGCTAAAGAGTATTAATTCCACTATTTTGGGATTATATTGTTTCTTAATACACGGTGCTGTTCTGAGAGGTGATTTTTGGACTTTCTGTGAAACTTAATTTTTTTTATATTCTAGTTAATTAGGTCATAACTAAAATTTTAAGAGCAAAATAAAAAAAATTTGATGGTTTGAATTGTTTTAATTGGCTGTTTATTAAAAATATTATGCACCCTTTCAATTATCCAATTAAAACTAGCGATTTAATTTAAATATTTAATATTTGCATAACTAAAAAAAAGGTTTTTACAATTTTTTTATATATTTTACTGTTTTGTTGAAATAAACGTTCAAACTTTTAATCTAACCTTTGACGTATACATTTATGTTCCTTAAAGGTTGCCATGAAACTTAGATCTATTAAAAATTTATTTGATGTTTGAATTGTCATTTTCAGTATACGTATTCTATAATATTGTTTAGTTTTTTAAAGTGTTTTTTATAAACAAAAATGAAAAATTGTAGTAAAAGTTACGAAGAAATTCATGAAATTTAACTAAGGACCGGTTTATTCATCTTTAGTAAAGTTTATCAGGCCGATAACTTTCATGTCTTGGCAATATCAAGTATCCAAAGAAATTATTCGTCAAATAAATCAAAAATGAATAAATCGGCCCTAAATAAAATGTGGCACCCTTAGAATTATTGTTTAATAAATGTATACTATACATTTAACCCTAAATTAAAACTTTAAACGTGTATTACAACAAAACAGTAAAAGATATAAAAAATGTATAGACCTTTTTTAGGAAATTAACTAATCTTTAATCTGATTTAAAAAGTTATGATAATATTTAAATAAAATCGCAAGTTTTAATTGGAGAATTGAAAGTGTGCATACATATTTTTTATAAACATCCAATTAAAACAAAATTAACCGTCAATTTTTTTTTATTTTGCTCTTAAAATTTTAGTTATGACCTAATTAACAAGAATATAAAAAAAATTAGGTTTCACAGAAAGTCCAAAAATCACCTCTCAGAACAGCACCGTGAATATATTATTTTGTTTTATTTTTAAAAATACATTAAAACTTAAAATACATACATTGTAAGAATACTGGCATTGTTCGTCTAATACCACTTATCTGCAATATAAGACTTTTCTCAAGACTTAAAATAAATTTGACTTCTGACCTATGATTTGAATATCCGTCGCTTTGTCATTTTATGAAATTTTTGTAGAAAATTAATTTTAAGAATTTAAGAGTTTTAGGTTAATATATATATATATGTATATATATATTGTAAATAAATTGAGCTTTATAATTTGCAATTGATGTGATATGGAGGAAAAAAACAAAAAATAATGGAACTAATATTTAATTGAATAATTTTGTTAAAACTTATTTATTAATTTTAAAGAACCGACATAAATAAATTTACTATTTGTATTTTTTTAAATGTCAAATGTATTAAAATCGAGTTGCTTCTGATTTTAACTAGGTTTGTTTATGTACTACTATAGTAAATTTAAAAGGAAACGACGTACACGTCATCGATGACGTCATAATTTTGCGCCAATACTAAATGTATTAAACGAAGTCTGTAATTGAATATTTTAATGCATTTTAAACAACTTTAGTTGGCAGCAATTGCAATGTTGTCATGTTTAGATTAAAATTTTGCATAATAAAATGAAGCATAGAAAAATAAATTGACGTTTTAGAATTTCGAAGCTGTCAGTTGTGATTTAGAATATTTCGTTTAATTTGTGTATAATTTCGTTTATTTTGTTTGTTGTTTGTGTTATTTTATATCATACATAATATGTATATCATACATACATTTGGCGGTGCATATAGGTTATAAAAATTTTGAGTTTTGACATTTTGGTATTCTAAAGTCCCAAATCTAGGGACCCTATGGTATTATTTATGTAAACGCCATCTATCGCCCTGTAGTTGCACACCACTTTCACTTGATCAAATGATTTTAGCATCACATTGACAACCGTGCCCGATCAACTGATTGATGACGTGTACGTTGTTTCCTTTTGAATTTACTACATGTTGGGAATCTATTGAGTATCGTTGGGATTCTATAGTATGCTTACAGATGGGGTGACAGAGAAAAAATTTACATTTCTCAGAAAAGTTCATTTTTCAAAGCTTATACTTTTCAATTTTTCAATAACATTATTTTTGTTGTAAGGAAAATGACAAATAACAATAAATTACCAAAAATGATTTTTATCCTAAAATGTTCACTCCAAAATCTCATAAAAATCTAAATTGACAATTAACCATATACAATAAAAATAATGTTACGCATATTCTTGGGGCTTGATATTAAGCAAAAACTTTTATTAAGAATTAAATTTTAAAAAAATGTAAAATAATGTAAACATATACCTATAGGTTAAGTTTTAAATTGACGCTTTTTTTAAGAGCGCATAGGAATCAAATATAGACGCCCAGACCATACCGCTATACCTAAAGGACTGAAATTTTGCATTCCTATTATGACATAGATAAACGCTAAGAAATTCCATCCCTAATGGGGTAAATTGGGACACTAAGTTTTAATCCTGGCACATTCGCCATTTTTTGAAAGTATTTAACGCCTGAACGTTATATATATATATATATATATATATATATATATAACGTTCAGGCGTTAAATACTTTCAAAAAATATACAGTCCCCATTTGTTTGGGACTCACCCCTGTAAAATAAATCGATTTCCCAAAAACGATAAGATATGTCCAGCTTTTTGCCCAAAAAACAAAACATATGTTGATTCTCTAAGCACCAAGTCTTAAAACTTTTATTGTTCTTGTATTTATAAATTTATTTTACCTTTTAGAACAATTTGATTAAGAATGGAATAGACTGATTTTAAAATAATAACAAAAATGTAGTTTTATTATTCCTCGTTTAACTTTCCTAGAAAAATATTAGAATTATTTATCTAGTCGAAGTAAACAAAGGATCAGTACCATACATTAAAAAATTTTAAACAATAATTTGAATATCTATTTTTGACTACAGGGCGCAGTAGTCACGGGACAAAACTTAAATACTCTGATGCCTATCTAACTAAACCCCCCGCCCACCCAACCTATCCCTTGTTTTTTATAAATATTTCCAATATGTATTTTACCAAGCGGCGAAAGCTCATACTTATAGCCGAGCACACATTTTACTGTTGAGGCGCCAGGTACATTGTGTGCGAGCCAATTAATAAGCTTTCGCCGCGGTGCTTTATATACTATTTTGTTTCAAGCATTCAATAAGAATATTTCTTTAAGATTTTGTCACATCAATTTTAGGTTAGGTTTCTATGGGTTAGGTTCAACTGAAATGAAGACATTTTAGCTTTATTTTTGCACGAATTTTAATAATAATTTGACTTTTAAACTAGTATTAAAATGAGGTATTTCTATATGGACTTATGAGTGTTATAATATGAAGGTTATTGCACGCTTGAAAAAAGTTATTATACGCTTAAAAAAAGGTTATACAAATTATGCAAAAATAATTCCCCTTTTTTATTTTGACTTTGACACAATTCATGACACATGCGTATTTTGTATCTTTTCAATGATTCCGTTATTTTTAAAATTTCTCTTTCACTTCCACTACCATGGAAATAGTTTGGGTGGAATTATTTCCGTGAACACTAGTTAAGTATTATTTTTACACGGTCTCCTTATTTAATTGTATTAAATCCTTGGTATAAATCTAATTATAATTATTTTGAACGTTTGTCCTTTTTTGTCAAATAAAGTTTAAGTAAAATTTGATATTTTTTAACTTAACATTACTAATTTTCTTATTATTTTCTTCTAGCAAATCGACTAAACGAATACATCAGCCACTATGAGACTCTCAACTACGACACATCGGAAGTCCATAGGAACCATTTGCGTGCGAAAAGGTCGGTCGTTTCCGACAACTTGGTTCAGCTGTCTTTTCGCGCGCACGACCGTCATTTTCGATTGCGGCTGAAGAGGGACCTGCAAGTTTTCAACGACAAGCTGGAGGTGCACGGACCAAACGGACAACCGATAGATGTCGATACTTCTCACATTTATCACGGACATTTGGGTGGTAAGAAATAATGCACTGTATATGCGTGTTTTCAGTATGTAAAGATCGATATTTGTAGAAAGTTATGGGTCATTCCATCGTTTAGGGTGTTACATTTCAACCAAAGTATAAATTTGTTGTCCTATCTAAATTGTAAAATTAGTACAGTTTATCATATAGGATAACGATTTTATAAGTCGAAAAGTGTGCGTTTCCTGACCATTGTTACATAATGTAACTTACATTTATTTGAAATTCAGCAAATTTTCTTAGGGAAACATTCCCAAAAATTACAGGCCTCCAAAAGTATAATATTTACTAACCATCTACCACATAATCACTCACAAATAACGTTTTACTATTTTTTTTTATAAAATTTTACTTTGTTTCGAGTGTTACCATGTACAAGTACAAAAATTAAACACTTTATATGGATACTTAAAAAAGGAAAACTTTGGTGATATGTTAAACAAATATTAGAAATATTCCCCAACACCATAACAAAACACAGTGCTTAAAGTACTTTTCGCCAACGATGTTGGCATCTTTAGAAGCGAAGTGTAACTAAATCTTACATATTTATACTTATTATAAGCTAAGGTTGACTGAACCGTAAACGGACACAGTTTACTAAACCCTGGACCGTAATCGCTTCAGTGAACACGTAAAAAGAAACCAACAAACTAAAGTTAGAAACCGGTCCGTTATCGCTATTGAGTATGAGTATAAGAGACGTATAACCGGCCCCATTGCCTCATCGCTCCCGGGCCCCGCATAGGCCTTGCGCAGATTTTCTTTCGCCACCAGCAACGGCGCGGCTTCACCCGTGTGTGCTGGTTGCGAATGTCCGTTGCGTCCCGTACTGTCCCCTAATTAGGGCTCGAGAGCGAAATGCCAATAGTTTTAGTAGCCATTCCCGGGTTCGCCGAGCCGATGCTGTACGCCCAGTAAGGTCATGAAGGAGGTAGGACGGGAGGGAAAGATATTTTTGGGGGACAATTACGCCGACTCAAATCTAAGTACTACGCGGTACCCCCCTAGACCAGGCAGTTAGTATTACTCCAAACATTTGGGATTACTGTATGGAGTTCGGGAGTTGTTATTTTGCAGCAGGAGCCTACGTCTTGGTCTACGTTTTTGTCCTTATTGTTCGTGTCCAAGTAGGATTGTTTCTGCACACGTGTCTTCAGTCTTGAGGCCGAAAACCATCAATAGATAGTTCAGTAGTTGGATATGTAACTTGTAGCTTTTGATGTGTTTTTTAATTATTTATTGCCGCAGTAGTGCGAAATTTCTAACAATTTTTTAGTTATTGTGTTGCCCAAGCACGTTTTGTGGTAGAATTGTTTTCTCTTTTTTTCTTAATTTCCAAAATTAAGTATTGCATTTATTTATTAGTTAAACAAATGACAAGCGCAATTATTCTGATATAATCTAATGTGTTTACAAATCCAATAGAGTTTGATTAGTATGCTGTTTTTACTATGTTTGGGTTATTGAGTGTTAGTTTATGTTCTAAGTGTCAAATGTTTATTATTGGTCTCGTTTGGGTTAAAATTAACGTTCTTGGGTTTCATGCATTACGCATTTGTTGTTGACAGATTTATTGCCCTACTCAGCTTTGGTGTATCACCGCGATATCTCGATTGGAAAGTTTTGTTTTTTGTTGTTTGTCTTTTTTCTTTATTATTTTATGGTGTTTGGTTAGTATTGTCTTTCTAATGTTTCTATTGTTACTGATGTTTATTGTTTTTTTTCTAGTGTTTAAGCAGTGTGCCTTTCTTAGGGTTTAGGTATCTGTCGTGTTTATTTTGCAAATCATGTGTTAGGTCATGCATATGTTTGAGGATAGTTATCAATTTTTGCGGATGGCCACTTCCCCTCTTGTTTGACCTCTTTTGTTTGTCTAGTGAAAAGCGTCCTATGACAGGTGGTAGGACGAATCTGAAACTTGTCACTTAAATCTTTCTTTCACTTAACACTTCACTCTTTATTGACCGTTACACTATTTTAGTTTGCACTTTATGAAAATTGTTTGTTGGTTTTGTACTCTTGTTTGTCCAGTGAAAAGCGTCTAGTTGAGGGGTGGAATGACCGCCCAGAAGTTCGCTTGTCACTTAACTCTTTTTTTATCACTTAACTCTTAACTCATTCTTGACCTAGGGTAGTCTTTACTCACTGTAGTTGTTTCACTATAATTTGTTTGTACTTTTGAGAAATTATTGTTGGTTTTAAACATTAAACTTTTACGTTTTAAGAGCTCTCGCTGCTACAATGCGTCTTGCCTTGTCAAGTGCTGGAACCTGACTGACCGGTCCGTTATCGCTATTTAAAGATTTATTTCTATTCCTATAAACTTTCATAACTAGCAGACTAAGTAAGTTTAAGGTTGTCAAATCCTGTTCTACGACCATCATCAAGTATATGTTGGGCAACACTTAATTTCACTAATTTTACGGTAGTGTGAATTAAAATACGCACTGGTTTATTAACGAAATAAACGATTTATTTTATAACTTAATTACACTTAATACACTAAGAAACTATAAAACTAACTAAACACAACTACTAAATATTTATAAATCACTACTGTACTGTCTATTTATTTGCACGTTTATTTATTTTATTTCGTCGCAAGTACCAAAGCTTGACTGACTGCTCCATGCTTCGCTGTGCCTTATATATTTAATGCTTACGTGACCCAAGTCACGCAAGCGCCTTCCCGAATATTCCAGCGATCTCCGCACCGCTCTCGATCGCCCGAGCGCTGACTCGCCGGCGATGAGTCATCATTCCGAGATCCAGAGGGGTACAGTATTTATTACTTACCCCCATAGCTTTTAGTGAAGAGTGAACTCTCAAAGTACGAAAAGATTAGCATTTAATGTGGAGCAAAATGTGCCATTTGACTGGGCAAAAGATTCTGGACAAACATTTTAAATTTAAGCTAGGTATTTTAAATACTATTTATCAATATTACACGAAAACAAAAAAAAAAGGTTAGAATCTTGCCTGTGTAATTTCTAATGCTACAATGTAAAAAACGGAATGAATTGCCACCTAACTTTTTTTCTCAAGTAGCTTAAGTTTGTACTAAATGAATCGGTGAGAGTAAGAACAGTACAAGTCCAAAAATTTAATTTTGACAAGTCAATTTTTAAAATCAATTTTAAAGTTCAAAATACATTTTTGTGAGAAGATATAAATCATTTTACAGAATATGAACATTATATTTTATAAAATAGTTAAAATATTCCCACAAAAATGCACTTAGAACTATAAAACGGATTTTTTAAAATATTTTGTAAAAATTTTGACTTTTGGACTTTTATTATTCTAAATCTCACCGATTCAAATACACTTCTTTTTTCAAATTGTATCTTAATAACAAATTAGTTGCACGTGAAAAACTAGCATGAGACAACATTGCAAATTAATTTTGTAACACCCTTTAAATAAATTTCGTATTTGTATGTGATTATACACTGTATAATATACAGGTTGTCCCAGGTTTTCTATAATTCCGTAAAATCTTAGTTTATATGTAGAAAAAAAATTACATAATATATTATAAAATAGTATAAAATGCTATTTTTATTATTATTATTTTAGGTGAACCTGACAGTGTAGTGTTTGGATCTGTAATAGATGGCGTATTCGAGGGAAAAATTGTCACTTCAAAGGACGCGTATTTCGTAGAAAAGGCCCATTATTATTTTCCACATGAACAGCATCCTAACAAAACATTCCACTCGGTAATCTACCACGACCACCACGTCGAAGATCCATACGCCCACAAACGAGAAGGTACATATTTATATACATTAAGTATGAGAATATTTGTTTTGATTTTACATTAAAATAACAGTGGAAGTTAAAGGCATCATCAGGTTTTTTTGTTTAATTGTGCTTATTTTAAATGGTTTAAAAAGGTTTCAAACTAATATTCTGAACATAGGATTAAGCTTTAATTCTATGTTCATAATATTAAGGATTTTATTTTACTCAAGTTTAATTCAAAACTTAAAAAGAAAGATATATAAAAATAAATAAGACAAAAATGGTTTACAAGTTTTTTGTTTAACTGGTTCTATATAAATAAAATATAAATTTAATTAAAATAATAAATCCCTTTCAAAACGAAAATAAAATAATAATTTATTAAATTAAATTCTAAATAGGTCAAATAAAAATTCAGGCTATGAAAGTCAATATAAAAGACTTGAAGCGAAGTTAGATTTCATTGAATTAAAAATTAAAACAAATATAGATATACAAGTAATCAAGGGCGTCGATAATTTTCTTTTTGGGGGGTAACAAATAAAGAAGAAAAATTTGCAAAACTTATTATTTGCTTGCTTGTATATTGGGGTAAAGGATTATAAGGTACCAAACTAAATATTTAATGAACATAAACATGTATTCTTTTTAAAGTACCTAATCTTTTTAAAAATGTCTAATTTTTATAGGGTAATTATTACCCTTCCTTATTGACGCCCTTGAAATAATAATATTACTACTTTTGAATGTTTTAAAATTCAATAATATGACAAACGTTTTTTTTTTTTTTTAAGAAAATTGAGTTTATTTCATTTTGTGTAGTATTTATGATACAATACAACTTTTATAGCATAACAAAAGTTTGTTAACAATATGTTTAAAAATATCACCTTTAGTTAATTAATTCACCTTAAGATAAAATTAAAAAAATTAAATGTTATACTTAAATTAGCGGGGTGAACTTTTTTGTAAACACCCTGTTTAACACATTGAAAATTATAAATTATAATAATAATTTGTAATATAAAACTAATTTTTTATGATATTCAACAAAACTTCCTAGGTCACCATAGCGGTTGTGGTATTAACGACGACGTCATTCATTGGATGGAAAAAGTCCAAAACTCCGGAACCAATGAAAAATTAAACCAATCAAATGAAGACACATTGAACCAGGCACCTCTAAAAAAACCTAGAATACACAAGAAAGTAGCGAAGCTGGATAAAATGAAGGATGTACCGAGATCACTGCCCCAAAATTACGAGGACGGTACGAACAAATATTCCAAAGAAGCTAACGAAGGCCACAGGCGAAGGAGAGCGGCCAGAAGCGAAAATAAGAATACTTGCTCGTTGTACATACAAACTGACCCTCTAATTTGGAAACATATCAGAGAGGGATTTCCTGAAGTAAGTACAATAAATTTGTTTTGCCCGATCGTCTCTGAAAAACACATACCTACTCAGAATAGTTAAAAAGCATAGTTGCCTGTGGTTGTTTTATTTTAAATCGTTTTTTCTTGCTAAACATTTAATAATAATAATAATAATAAATAGCTTTATTCCAGAAAATATTTTACATACAAACACAATAATGCAAAACGTAAAATGAAAATGCGTCAACAACATATACATATTTACTAACAATTGATCTTCAATAACAAAATTATTACATATTAAAACTTAAAATTTAGGTATTTATTTATGCTATATGGTTCTATTTTTACTAATATTTATTTTATACGATTTTTATACTGGACTATACCTTTTCAACTTCAAATTGAGACTTGTCAGTTTCAAATTGAGACTAATCACATTCAGATTGGGATCAAACATATTCAAAATAAGAATAAACAAATTCAAAATTAAAATAGTCACTCTCAAAATAAGAATAAACATATTCAAATTGGATCTTAATAATCAAAATCAAAATAAGAATAAACACATTCAATTTGAAACCAAACAACGTCAAATTGAGACTTGTCAATTTCAAATTGACAAAAAAGTTTATAGAGTAGATTGTAACCTAGGGTTTGTAAACAAGTTGACAGGCTAATTGGTAATTGGTGTCAAACTGGTTATAATAAGCAAACAACCAAAAGTCGAGCCAAAAGTATATTTAATATGCCATATATTAAGGAAAAAGAAGCGAAACATATCCGTAAACAAATTTGTGCAGTTTATAATAATAATGGCGACTGGAGAGGACTAATACTCTTGGTGTGAAGAAATCAACAGCATATCGATGGGTAAAGAACCAGGAAAACGAGAGACCACGTGGTGGAAGAAGGAGAGTCAAAATTTCTGAAGAACATCATAATTTTATTATTCAGTACTTAGAGAAAAATCCAAGGCCAACATTAAATCAACTAAAAATAAAATTTGAGGTAAACCATCAAATCACTGTTTCAACTGAATGTTTAAGAAAGCATTTGGATGGCTTAATGTTTACTTTAAAAGATATTCGCAGGGAGCCCGAACGAACCAACAGTGAAGAAAATAAAAGGAAACGCCAGGAATATGTGCAACAACTTTTGAATTACCAAGCAGACAATATCCCAATTATATACATGGACGAAACGAATTTTAATTTTATTTATTTATTTTATTTTGGCTGGTGAAGGCAGGGCAAATATGACTCAAAGTGAGTTTCGCCTTCAACAGTTAGAACATATGTTGCCCACGTACAAAGGTTTATCCCTGATGCGTTAAATTTAATTGATATGAATGTGTAGAACTTTATTATAAATAAATTAATATTTTTTAAATATATTTTCCTGATTTTAATACTTTTTATCAATTTGAAATTGACAAGTCTCAATTTGACGTTGTTTGGTTTCTAATTGAATGTGTTTATTCTTATTTTGATTTTGATTATTAAGATCCAATTCTTATTTTGAGAGTGACTATTTTAATTTTGATTTTGTTTATTCTTAATTTGAAGATGTTTGATCCCAATCTGAATGTGATTAGTTTTAATTTGAAATTGACAAGACTCAATTTGAAGTTGAAAAGGTATAGATTTTGGATTATTTTATTATTTTAATTTCATTTGGCAGCTTATGAAATAGTTTAATGCACATACATATATTTTTAGCTTTTTTCTGTTTTTGTAAGGGAGTGCATGGGAAAAGTCATGTCTAGTGTTCTGGTATTATAAGATTTCCTGTGTTCACTGAATTCTTTTTATTTTTAAATAAAAACATTAAACAGTCATATATACAGGGTGTTATGTAATTAATGTTATATATTAAAATACTTAATACCTTTTGACATAAGGAATAAAGGAAAAATATTTAAAAAAACATTTTTCCAAAGATAAAGAAAAAATTTGCATTAGAAGTTTTTTATATTTTTTGTGATACGCCACTGGTTACACACTTGTTTATCTCTGCACACCTGTATTTTGTGAGTACATAGATACCAACCAACAAAGTAGCTATGCGTTGCCAGATGTAAAAAATTGTTACTAAAAATTTTTCTTGCAAAAAATAAATAAAAACTCAATAAATACAAAAGTTTTATGCCCTTAAAGCTCTAATACCCTTCTGTATTTATTTACTGATCCAGCTATTAGCTTAAGCAATGAAATGAAAATTTAGTACCTTTGAAATTTGAAATCCATAACCATAAAATTAATTTTTTCATCAGTTTTTTTCTCTGTTTACTCAGATGAAATTGGGACCAGTTCACAGGTTAAACTTTAAACATTTAATTTGTGTAAATAAATCCAAAAGCACTTCCCTTAGTTAAGATATTTACAATTTGAAAACATAACCTAAAATTTAAAAGAAATGCACTAGATTCTGTCATAAAAGTTGTCAGATTTTGTTTGAATTTACCTTCAGTACAAAAATGGAATAACCAACAATTAATAAAAACGCCAAATTGACAATTTGCATTGTTAATTTTGTCATTTTTGTAATTAAGCTAAATTTAAACAATGTTTGCAACTTTTTTGAGAGATTTTGGAAACACTGTTACCAACCATAACATAATAAATCCACCAGATTAACCTAAAGTTCCTAGTCGATCAGTGGCGTACTTTTTGGTAGGATAAAGGTTATTATAAATTATTTTTAGACTTTGGAATTTAGAAAAAAAAAGTTTCAGGTGCTTCTTTATGGACCCTAAGGAACAACCCATTTTAATATATAACATTAATTACATAACACCCTGTATATAGCGCGTAGACAGTTAGAATATCACTTTTCCTAAACTCTCCCCTGCAGGATTCTTTATATATTTTTTTAGTATCAGTCTCAATACCGCCTTCTGGATAATGAAAACCTTTTCAGTGTTTAAATTACTTCCATAAAATACAATACCATATTTGATTTTTGACTCGAAATTTGCATGATAAATGATTTTTATACTCTTAAAATTAAGGTAATTTTTTATAACATTTATACTATATTTTACTGTACTTAACTTTTTACATAGTTCATCTATCTGCAGATCAAAAGTAAGGAATTCATCTATTTGAACCCCAAGAAATTTAACATTTTTTACAAAGAGCGTTTCTTGATTATTAAACGCCACTCTGTCATTTACTTCTTTTCTACTTTGTATAGTTTTAAATAGTATAATATTTGTTTTTTCAGTGTTTAAAATAAACTCATTTTTGTCATACCAGTCTTTTGTCTTTGCGAAAATACTTTCAAATCTCTCCGACAACATATCAAAACTCCTAGCTCCCACTAGAAGGTTGTTATCATCGGCACAATTTGTCATACTTTGGTACTTATTATCATTTTTTATAATTTCAAATAAATCAATTACAAAAATCAAAAAGAGTATAGGTTCCAGGATACTCCCCTGGGGTATTCCCAGTAGAATATCCTTTAACTCAGATGCATTTCCATTTTTTTCTATTTTTACTATTTGCTTGCGATTTGCCAAATATGATCGAAGCCATTTAAGTGACATACCTCTTACTCCTTATGCATTCAGTTTTTCAAGCATGATCCCAGAATCAAGACAATCATAGGCCTTTGAAAGGTCCAAGCATATACCCATTGCCAGACAGCCTTCCTCTAGAAAATTTATAATATTTTGTGTGAATAAAGCTGTTTGTGTTGAATGATTTTTTAAAAATCCATGCTGAGATTGGGATGTATAAAAAAGTTTACCAGTCTATCACACATTGCCATTTCAAAAATTTTTGAAAAACTTGGTAATATGCTTATGGGCCTATAATTGTCTTGCTTCTCAGGGTCGCCTTTTTTATATATTGGTTTTACAACCGCCATTTTTAGTGCATCTGGGAAAATTCCGTGCTTAAAGGAGTTGTTAATTATGTGGCAAACAATGTCTTTGATCTTTGGAAGGGATAATTTTATTAAACTGCTTGGTATGTCATCTATTCCGCTACTGCTTTTATTTTTTACCCTTTTACCCAATAGTAATATTTCGCTTGGTGTTACTGTGTTACATGTATTATTATTTTTTTCATTACACATTTTAATTTTAAAATTTAATGCATTTAATTGACAACATGAAAATCTACTTAAAATCTTGATAATAAATAATAACGCATATGTTTGGAAGTTTTTTATAGATTGTTCAAATTGGTAATAAACTTAAAGTTTTAGAATTTTGTAATAAAATATTGGATTTTTTAAGTACCTAAATATTAAAGATATACAAAAAAGAAAACAATTTTTAAATAACTCGGGAAGGCTGTGTTTTTTCAAGCCGTTATATCAAATAACCGGTTACATAATCAGTTCGGGCCAATATCGGCAAAGGATATCGGGCCGCAATATATTCTTTGCCGATATGACATGTAATTGTTTATTATTATTATAAAGATATCGCATTATAATGTACTTAAACTTATACACATACTTTATGCAGCCTTGTAAATTTTCTTCATGACTATTAAGGAATTCTTCTGCAGCTAGCCTAGCATCAGGAATATCTTTGGGTCCTTTAAAAAAGAATAGTAATTAATATTAATATAAATTATAATGTCAAAAGCTTGCGCTATATAGCGCAAGATTTTCATACTTTGGTCTTTATCAAAATAATTGGTAATTGTGAATTTATCGAAAAACTCGACGTAAAAATGTAGCAATTTGCGCTACACTTCTTGATGTCTCCTAAAGTCCGTTACATTATTCTTACCAGGGATGTACTTCGGAAATTTGCGTCCCGGGCGAATATTATCGGCCGCCCCTGTACCCTATATCTGAAGTGACTCAAAATTTGTTTAATTTTTAATTAAAATTTTAAGAACCAATCCGAAATTTTTTAACAAAATAATATTAAATATTGCATGCACTTTTACTAAATATTTTCCACAACTTCTAATTACAAGACTATTAAAATGAAACTTTTAAATTGGGAAAAAAGCCAGCACTCAAAATATTTGAGAAAAGCTAAAAACGTTTTAAAACCTAAAATCGTAATAACTTTGAAGAAATTAAATTTTACATATAAACATTTATCAAAATTTTCATCCAATTTCTTTGCTACTATATTCTGATTTACCATCACTTTTTGTTTTGTTTTTATAATGGCCGCCATAACTTATGTAGTTGATATATTGTTGGATTCCTTGATTTTTTCTCATGGGTCAGTCCATGTCAACTCAACACACCCATTTTACCACACCACCTCAGATTTTCTTAAAATTTGATATACTTATACTATGTACTAAGACTAAGAAAAATACCAATTTTTAAATTTTTATCTCACACCGTTTCCGATATATGGCTATGTAAAGTTTTTAAAAACTCGCGAAAAAAGTGTGAACGTGTATTTTTTAAATTGATCTGGAAGCTGTCCTAATTCAGCTAGAACGCTGGGAGAGGTGTCATTTTGCAGCATTTTAAATGCTCTTTCAAATGACATACGAACGCCAAGGGTATTAATGAAAAGATTTTGTTCAAAATCCATATATATATATTTTGATTCAATTTTTTTTCAAAAAGTACATAATTTAAAATTCTCAAAATATTTGTATAAATACTTAGTACTGTTTTAAACCATATAGTAAAATATAAATGTGGGGTCTTAATGGGTTCATGTTAAAAAAAAATATTTGTGATGCTGGTTTTTCACTTAACTAATTTTGACAGATTCGTTACATCTTTCCTGCAGGTATGACAAATCATGGAGCCAATAGGCATTTGTGGAAATAATCCAGTCATCCATGCTGGGACTTTTCTCAGTTTTTTTCTGTCTCTAATAAAATGATTTGTTTTTTTCATTGGATTATAACACTGCACTATCACAATAGTAGGCTCCATGTTGACACCAAAATCACTTTAAACACACCTCATTTATAGTTTTATTTTTAAATAAACTACGAATATATACAGGGTCCGATAAAAGTTCCCTGATTTTTTTTTTAAGCGAGTTTAAAATTTATCAATAAGGTTTTCGCGGAAATTGTTTGCTCGAGCAGGTTCCTAGAACCCTCTCAATTCTGAAAATATTCATTTTATGTTGTTCTGTTTAAAATTTAGTTCAATATGAATCGCCAAAAAAAGCGCATCACAGTAATTGAATTAAAAAAGTCGGGAATGTAGGCAGCCGATATTATTAGGGTTCTTAGAACCCTATATTTTTGAAAATATTCATTTTATGTTGTTTTGTTTAAAATTTAGTTCAATATGAATCGCCAAAACAAGCGTATCACAGTAATTAAATTACACAAGTCGGGAATGATGACAGCCGATATTATAAAAAAAAATACAATTGTCAGGCTTAAGCCTGATAAACGTTGAATAATGTCAAAATTAGTTTAAAGTGAAAAACCAGCATCAGAAATATTTTTTTTAACAATGAACCCATTAAGACCCCACATTAATATTTTATTATATGATTCAGAACACTACCAAGTATTTATACAAATATTTTGAGAATTTTAAATTATGTACTTTAAAAAAAAAAAAAAAATCAAAATATATATATGGATTTTGAACAAAATCTTTTCATTAATACCCTTGGAAGTCGTATGTCATTTGAAAGAGCATTTAAAATGCTGCAAAATGACACCTCTCCCAGCTTTCTAACTAAATTAGGACAGCTTTCAGCGCAATTTAAAAAATAAACGTTCACACTTTTTTCGCGAGTTTTTAAAAACTTTACATAGCCATATATCGGAAACGGTGTGAGATAAAAATTTAAAAAATGGTATTTTTCTTAGTCTTAGTACATAGTATAAGTATACCAAATTTTAGGAAAATCTGAAATGGTGAGGAAAAATTTCTTTTTAAAGTGTGTTGATTTGGCATGGAATGGCTCTCATCAAACCATGTTACATTTCAATATGCTATTTTAATAAACTTGTAATTTGGCCACTTTTCTTTTCTTAACCTACCTTGTAGCTCTTCAAATAAAAAAGATACCCATTATGGCATACATGGAAAAAACTTGGTGCACCCTGTATATAAGCTTTTGTTCCATACAACGTTCATATAGTATTTTAGTTACAGTCTGTATTTAATATTACAAAACCTATTTTTTAATAGAAACGATTTTTATATAAAATTTGAATACATTAATAATATATCTGATATTATATATCATGCGTCTGTTATCCCAGGTTATCCCATACATATATGTAATCTGGAATAACAGACGCAAGAAAAATTAGATATTTTAGAGTCACTACTAAAATAATGTATATACTAACAAAAAATTCACTACATTTTAAGAAATGCCCTGACCGTATCTAAAGCATTTTTTGTAATACTAGGTTAGTACTACAAAAATCCATCCAGGAAAAAATTTAGATCTTGAATTAATGTTGTCTAATAACCGCTCATAAATTTTAGCACAACGATCCCAGGAAGCAGAGCGAAGTGAACGAGAAAACGAGAGAGGAAATTCTGTCATTAATTGCTCATCATGTCACTGCCGTTAATTATATTTACTATGGTACTAAGTTTGATGGACGTTCGGAGCATCGCGATATCAAGTTTGAAGTACAAAGAATCAAGGTGAGTTAATCAAAACCTGGGTCAAGTCCAATGGTTAAATGATATTCACCTTTTATGTTCAACTAAATTTCTATAAATTGACATTAATGGTTAACAAATATATTCTTGATTGAAAATTCTTTCATGTTGTCTAAAAGGAAAACGCTTCTATTTTTATAAAGAAACTAATGCATAGTAGAATTAAGTTAAGAGGCACTGGTGTAGATATCTACCTACCAATAATATTTGATTTAAACTTGTTTTCATCAGATGAGCAATGTGTAAACATAGTTTGGTTACATGTTTGTTGATTGTAATACAATAAATAACATTGTTTGGGGCAATTACAAACATGAAATAAAATTAACAAAGTATTTTTTAATCAAATTAATTACAATTTTATTAAATTTGCTACTGCATGAGTGCAAATGTAGTAATATTGTTTAACTCATAATGTTTATTGTCCTTTTAAAAAAACAAATATGCCAATAAAGAACCTTTGTTATTGGTTCAATGTATTTTCCGTTGTATATGCATTATATTATTAATAAATTTTTTTTTTAAACGAAATTAAAGTAAAATTAATAAAAAAAATAATATTAATGTTGGCAATATCACCGAAAAATTTGAAATGAACCAAACAACTTTTAATATTTACCATATTTCAAAAGTTACTCAATATTCCAAACTTTTGAGCAACCCTGTATATTTAAAAACAGTAATACTAATAATATAGACTTAATACTAAAGCCTCATTCAGAACCACGTAATTAGTGGAATAACTTAGTGGTTTCAATTAACGTTAAAGTTTTTAGCCTCATTCAGAACCTCGTAATTAGTAGAAAAAATTAGTGGTTTCAATTATACTTATAATTAACACAAAACGATCATTCACAATGCGCAAAATTAACATTTAAAATTAAGGGAATTTGCTAAAAGATTGTCCATTTTTCTTAACCTGACATAAACAATATTAATTATATTAAATTAATATTTTGTACAACCATTACAATAATTACATATATAACCTTAACATCACTGGCAAATCTTCAAACTTTTTGCTTTTGACATAAAATATCCGCGCACATGCGCAAAGCCGCTTTCCAATTATAATTAGTGGTAAAAGTTAGAAGTTTGCAAACTTTTTCCACTAATTGAAAAGTACTACCACTAATTTTTTGGTTGTGAACAACACTGTGTATATTCATAAGACAAACTTTTACGTTAATTGAAACCACTAATTTATTCCACTAATTACGAGGTTCTGAATAATGAATATGATGAATATACACAGTGTTTTTCGCAACCAAAAAATTAGTGGTAGTACTTTTCAATTAGTGGAAAAAGTTTGCAAACTTCTAACTTTTACCACTAATTATAGTTGGAAATTGGAAAGCGGCTTTGCGCATGTGCGTGGATATTTTATGTCAAAAGCAAAAAGTTTGAAGAGTTGCAAGTGAAGGTAAGGTTATATTATTTATATAACCTTACCTTCACTTGCAAAACCATTACAATAATATTTTTATTGTAATGGTTTTAAAATATATTATTTTAATATAATTAATACCTATTGTTAACATGTTTTTGTCAGGTTAAGAAAAATTGACAATCTTTTAGCAAATTCCCTTAATTTTAGATGTTAATTTTGCGCATTGATCGTTTTGTGTTAATTATAAGAATAATTGAAACCACTAACTTTTTCCACTAATTACGAGGTTCTGAATGAGGCTTAATAATACAAACTCAGCTTACAAGACGTAACGCCAGGAGGCGCTTTCACAAATTTGGACCTTACAATTTGAACTGGGATGAAATGTGGAAAAATCGAATCTATGCAACCCCCAAAACTATTCTTTAAAGGGGTTTTGCTAGTTTAGCTCGAATAATGGAGATATATAAAAGCCCCTAGAACTTAAAAAAATATTAATTTTATAGAAAAATGCTCGGACACGTCGATTTTTATTTTATATGACGTAATTTTCAGTTGATTTTGAAATTTTTATTTTTTCACAGATTCACCCCCAGCAGGGCTCCCAGCAGGTAGTTTTTTTAAAGACTTGTCTATATTTTTGTCTTAAGTCTATAAAAGTCTATTTTTTTACCTAAAGTCTATAAAGTCTATATTTTCTGTTAAAATCAACTATTAAAAAATATTTTTTTAAATATAAATATTCACAGTTTTATAAATATCGAAACCACAGTAAACCAAGTGAAACATTCGAAAACTTCGCAGTTTACATTTAAAGTTCCCGCCGCGCCGTCCAGACCCGAACCGCCCGCCAAAATTATTGCTGAATTGTTTCTGGTTTGGTCTAGGGTTTCGTTTACGTTTATAGTTTCGGTTCGCTAGGTTACACTACCTATATATGCATTTTTCATGAAATTAGTAAGTACCTAGTATCTATCAAAGAACATGTGACAAAGAATGTGTTCCTATTCTATGTTTTATCATCCATTCCATAACCCTAAAAAATTATGTTCAGACCATAGCAAAGGTGAGTGTATAACTATAGTTTTGATTAGGGATGCACCGGAATTCCGGCGGTACTACTAAATCCGGCCGGATCGCTTTCCGGCCGGAATTTTCGGAACTTTTTGGAAATGTTTAAGTTTTAAATTTTTATGTAATGTAATGTAATTTAAATTCAAATATATGCAAAAATAATAATAAATGGGATTTCCCGACTTTCGCGTCTGTGATTCCCCGACTTTCGCGTCTGGGATGCCCCGACTTTCGACCAGATATATTTTGTAATTGGTCAACAGTGAAGGGTGTGCGTGTTTCCTTGCCTATGATAGACCGGCGGCTGTGGTTCCCCGACTTCTTTTTATTTTTTTTATTATTGGCAGGTGGCTGCTATTCTCCAATTGAATGAGTAGAATTGTTTTAATTTTGTTAACGCTAATTAAAAATTAATATTTAAATAAACAGTAATTTCTATCTAGGTAAAATTAATAGTAATAAACACGCATACTGTAGCTAGTTTAAAAAAAAGTAAAAATAAAATCAGCCTCAATATTTTCAATGTTTTACGTATAAAAATAGGCATGCACATAAATTTTAAATTTAGATCCCGATCCGGCCGGAATTCCGGCGATCCGGTCCGGCCAGCGGCCGAAATTCCGGTTCCGGCCGGATCGGCTAAATACCCGATCCGGTGCATCCCTAGTTTTGATTATTAAAAATTATACATTTATATTATTTAATAAAAACAAAGTTTAAATGTACTTGTACTGACATAAAAAAAATTAAATTGAATGATTAAGGAAGGGTGCCGAAAATAAAAAAAATGACTAAATATGTATGGCCAAAAAAGAAGCGGGGAAGGTAACTTACAAGATTAGTCGTCTTGCCCAAGATTTAGAAAAACGAAAGGCGAAAATTATAGATTAGCTGCAGCCCACCAAAAAAAAATAAAACCCATTAAATGACCAGTGCCTTTTATATAAATGTGATTCTATTTATTATAAGTTATAATTTATTACAGAATTTAATTTTTTTTTGTTATTTATGTATTTTATAACAGTTATGGTTACTTGTTAATTCAATACAAATTTATAATTTCAAGTTATCTCTATGTATTTTAAATTCAAATTTAGATCTTTTATCCCAAAAAAATGTATACCTCCATTTTATAGTTATTTCGGTAATTAATTTGGTCTATATTTGGTCGTTTATTTTTTATTATTAGTCTCTTAAGTCACTATTTCTCGCAACATGGACTGCTGGGAGCCCTGACCCCCAGCCACCCCACTTTTTTTTTTAAAGAAACCGACCCTTTGTTATACCTTAAATAACAGGTAATGTACTCTCTAAAAATGAATTAGTCAAAAGTAACTAATTTAATAGTTAATAGTGGCTGCTTTTTCACTTGTGCCATGGTTAACCATGGAATACCATTGTATCCCAAAATTTAACAGCCAATTCTTATGTAAAATTTTCCCCTGAATCAGAAAATACCGTCAAAATTTAAAAAAGTAGAACAGTTTTTGAAATATAGTCAATTCCATATTAAATGGAAAATTGACTATATCTCAAAAACTGTTCCACTTTTTTAACTTTTGACGACTTTTTCGGTATAACAAAGGGTCGGTTTTCTTAAAAAAAAAGTGGGGTGGCTGGGGGTGAATCTGTGAAAAAATAAAAAATTCAAAATCAACTGAAAATTGCGTCATATAAAACAAAAATCGACGTGTCCGAGCATTTTTCTATAAAATTCATATTTTTTAAGTTCTATGGGCTTTTATATATCTCCATTATTCGAGCTAAACTGGTAAAACCCCTTAAAGGATTTGTTTTGGGGTTGCCTAGATTCGATTTTTTCAGATTTGATCCCAGTTCATTTTTTGTGTTGCACAGTGTAATTTAATTGAAAGAAAGTGAGGTTTAATCTAGAGATGGGAATCGGAAAGTTTCCATTTTAAGGAAACTTTCCGTTTTGGAAAGTTTCCAATTGGGAATTTATTTTCATTTTTTTCTTTTAAGCTACCGGAAACATTCCTTGGAAACTTTCCTTGTTTTTTTCATTTAAATGTCAATTGTTTAACCGCTGATTTTCGTTAAGGCCATGATACAAGGCCAAGAAACTTTAAATAAGAATTTAATGTGTGTTAATTTAAAGCAGAAGAAGAAGTATAAATAATGTAAGTTATGTTACATAACCTCAATGAAGCCGGATTATTCAGCATCATCACAAAAAACTTTTTTAAAAAAAGGTAAACAAAATAAAAACAATAAACAAAGTTAAAATCATTCTTAAATTTTTGTTGTTTATTTATAGGCATAGCACAATGCCAAGAAAAAAATCTAGTGTTTGGAATTATTTTTTACTTTACTTTTTACTTTTCAATATTCCTATATATTTAGTTACTTTGTCCCTTTTAATTTTTTTTACTTAATATCTAGGATTTACTAGCAGTGAGTTTCTAATAGGTAGTAAACATTTTATTTTTATTTTGTAGGTTTCAGTATACAATAGGAATATTCCAAAGTAAAGGATACCAAAAATAGTATTGCAGTTACATTCTTATAAACATTTTTTTTATTTTTTTTCTTAATAAAATTTGACAAAAAGTTAATGTGTTATATATTTTTGCAAATCCCTGGCATAAAAAAATTATTTCGCAATAAAATTTTTTTTTTGAAACTTTCGGAAAATTTCGGGAATTTTCCCATCTCTAGTTTAATCGGTCTAAAATTTGTTAGATATTAAAAACAGAGATGTCGCCACGAGTGTTTATTCTGTCATCAGATGATAAAATATTTCATTCTGTAATACTTTACGGAATATATGTCATTCCATAGATAAAAGTGATATTAGAACAGTCATATTCCATAATAGGAGTAGAAAAAGTAAATGCTCAAACTGTTGTCCGCCAACATGCATACAGTAATAGAGGTTATTTTCAAACCGTTGCACAGTGTGTTAAATTAATTATCTAGCTAGACAACACCTACATGACATAAAAAATTATAAAATTTCTCTGTAAACGGGAAATTTGGGTTCACTGAATCCAAATCTAACATCCAAAATGCAGAACTTAAATTCGTTCCTTACAAAATGGCCGGAGCCTTGCAATAAAAAATAAACTTTCGGTTTCGTCGGAAATTAGTCAACTTTCGTTTTTTCAAAGAAACACCCTGTATATTATTGTATATTTGAAATCTGGAGAAAATTTTGGATCCGATCGATGCTCATTCGCTATCATTTTGCAAATGACCTTGAATTTTTGTCCAGTTTTATTTTTCAATCCAGAAAGCTGCCATTTGGAGAATCAATTTGTTTTACTATCCAAATTTGCAGTAAAATGCATAAATAGTAAATGTTGCTGATTAATTGGTTTTTTTTTAAATTAACTCAACGTTCCCAATCAAAACCCACCAATGTCATAAAAATTCGTTTAGTGTTTTCCACGAAAATTACACTTATGGAAAACTTAAATTACAAAAAAATAAGGTCATTTTAAAATTCCCGCGAGTAAGTATTCAAAATTTTCTCCTGATTTAAAATATACAAAAATATGCAGAGTATTTCATTGAAAAAACGAAAGTTGGCATTATATCCGGGGAAACCGGAAATTTTGTGGTAATTAACTCTTTATTTTTACTCCCAAATTTCAACTATATTCCAAAATTTACTAGTAAAAAAGGAGTGAGTCGGTTTTTGGTTACACCCTGTAGAAGAAGCAAATTGGGGCAATAAATAAAGGCACATGAGTAATCTGTAGACGTTATAAAACAAAACAAATATTGATAGTGCCCCCGATATTGCTCGATTACAAAACTTCTTGCTTAATAAATATTGTCCATATTTAACAACACCAAGTACATTTCTATATCTATAGCCTGTTGCTGATTACTGATATTTTAAATCCCTAATAATAAAATATAAGTAATATATACCTAGATCCATAGCTGCACAGTTAGTTATTGCCCTAAACCAGGGTGGAAGAAAAAGGTGTTATAGCTCTTATCTCTACAGTACAGAAGCAAGTGTCCAGATAAGTCAGTATTTCGTTCGTTGCTCGTTAGATGGCGTCAACTAGAATCTAAGGTTTTACCAACGAAATCCATATATTCTATAACTTTTAAGAACAAATTATAAGATAGCGAAAACTTAAGGAGAGTCTTCTACCCTCCTTAACGAAGATTACATCTTTTCTTACAGCATAATTATAATAATTTGCAGAACGATTGGCAATACTGTAGTATTGCCAACTGTTCAGCCAAAATGCACAGTCGCCACCATGGTCGCCACAAACCAGTGTTGCCAGAAATGCAGAATTTTCTTCAATATGCAGAATTTTAGCCTACATCGAGAGCTAATGAAGAAAAGAAGAATATTTTACAAAAACCACTACAATATGAAGAATTTTTTAAATTCACATGTTTTTTTTTCATTTTTAAATTGTTTTCAATTTTCTAGATTATTTAATTCTTTAACTCGATTTTAACACTGTAATATGATTTAAAATTTAAATTTTAAATGTAATTATTTTATTCATTTCATATGCATTCTGACATCTCTCAGTAAAATGGTATAAGACTCGAATTGCATCACTGGTGCTACACTGGGGAAGCCCTAAATTTTAATAGATATGATTGGTATAAAATAGGTATATTTATTTTATTTATAATTTATAAATCATAACTCCATAAAATATAATATACCTACTATATTAAAAATAATAATATACCTAGTAGGTATATTATATTTTAAGGATTTGCATGCATGCACATGTGCATTGTGTATGTGATTTATTTAAAAATGAGTTCAAATGAAGAAGATTCTCAAGGGTTAATATTATTAATTAAATGAGTGCCTTTGTCACAGCAAATATTAATTAAGTATTTTGTATCTTATTTTAAGATGGCCATCTGAGCCGGCTCTGTGAAGTGCCAAGTGAAGAGACAAAATTTAAATGTCGATAGTGTAATGCAATACTTTATAAGGGTTTTTTTCAATAATGAATGATGTGAAAACACAAAAACGAAACAGACTTCAAGAAAATACATTGAATTCATAGATTAATTTCCTTTGCGTACCGATTTTAAAGATACAGGTACAAATTCTGCAAAAATGTCTGTCACCAAAAAACATTTAGATTTAATGAAATTAAATAATTTATTTAATTCTTCTATCATGGTGTATAGTTTTTTGTTCTGCCTATAAAATTAATTCATTTTCTTTAATTTGTAATACTTTATCTCCTGTTTACCATAAAAGATATTTGACTTTTAAAAATATTTTTTTTAGTATTATTAAGTATCTAATCCAGTCAGAAGGTTTTTTATCTAATGACGTTTTACATCTCTGCAGAAATATGAAGAATTTTTAAGGTTAAATTGAAGAAAATTGGTATAAAGAATCTGGCAACACTGCCACAAACGCACAAAAGTGACGTTTAAATGGTTTTATTTGAATTTAAATTAATCGTAGTGGCCTATTCTTTGAAGTTAATCTATGCAATTTTACTAAAAATGGGAAAAGTTTGTTGTGCACCGGGATTAAAACAGGTTCCACTTCAATGCGCCATCTATTAAGAATTTTAACAAATACTGAGTTATTTGGCCGCTTTCCGGGATAGAGATGTATCACCTCCTTCTTCCACCCTGCCCTAAACGATTCTTATAAGGATGGAATTTGTACTTTTTGTACGCGTCGCCCGTCGTAATGGCCAACTATCCATTGCAACTTGCCCTAATACTGCTATCTTCATAGGTTCATTTAGTACCGGATTTTCAAGCTGCCTCTTTTTGTTATGAACGGAACCTGTTTCCGAAAAAGTTTTTCGCGAAATTTGACCACCAATTCGCGAACAATTTTCCCATAAGCATGTTTGTCATGATGCCGTTGGTTAAACAGTTCTGCGACCCGATTTCCACATTCATTGTTTTTTTTTACACTTTCTGCAATTGAGTACACCATAATTGAATAATTTAAAATGTTTAACAAGTTTGAAACACTTTAATACTTTAAATGTGAAGCAAACACTATGTCATATACACGTAAAATAAATAAAATTATTTTTGACTACCAGATAGGAGGTAACGTATTGCAAAAGATTGACAACTTTACAGATCTTGGTGTGACATTTGACACAGAGCTAAGTTTTATACCCCATATAACTAATATAACGTTGTCTGCCTATAAAACTCTAGGGTTTATTACAAGAAATTCTAAAGACTTTTCATGTCCTTCTACTTATACTACACTATATAATACGCATGTAAGAGCTAAGCTGGAGTATGCCTCAATAATCTGGTCACCTATTTACGATATACATATAAAAAGTTTAGAATCAGTTCAACGACGGTTTTTGAAAACACTGTTTTTTAGGTGTCATCAAGTTTATCCTACTCAGGGATATGAACATAAATTACTCCTTTTAGAATTTAAGTTTAATAGTCTGGCACAGCGGAGATTAAGCTCTCGTGTTTTGTTTCTGCACAGAATAATAAACTATGATGTTAAATGTGAGGAGTTAACTTACATGTTAAATTTTCATATTCCCCGCTTAAGAACTAGACTTAAAACCACATTTTCCATCGCAACCCCACGAACAAATATTTTGATTCAATCACCAATTTATCAAATTATGTCTAGTTACAATAAGTTTGAAGATCACATAGATTTATTTTCATGTAATGCTAATTCTGTAAAGCATTTTTTCTCAACCTACCTATTTTAAGTTATTTTGTTATCCTTTTTTTTTCCTACTCTTTTTGGTTTAGTTTGCATATTTTTTGTTCTTATTTAAATGTGATATGATTTAATTATGTGTATATATGTTATACATATATTCTGTAAATGGGTCTAGGCCTGTAGAATATTAATTAAATAAATAAATAAATAAAAAAATAAATAAAAATAAATAAACACCCGATGGTAATGGTAAATATTTACTTACTAATACAAGCTTAAAAAATACCAGCAAAAACAGCGAATTCTTTTGTAGGAATTTATTTTAATAATACAGTCAGTTTTTAAGTAAAATTAAATTGATTTGTGTATTTTTCCTCAAATGTATTGTTAGTATTTTAAAGTTCCATAATTTCTAAACGGGTCGATCGATTTTCTAAAACTAAGCAGCAATGTATAGGGAATCAAAAACCCTTTTTAATGAGGTGTAAGATATATATTTCAAACAAATAATTTATATTTTTACAAATTATAGGTATATACTCGGGTATATATATATATATTTTATTAATCATAATTATGGCACAAACGGCGCCTCATATTTTTCCATCTTAAGTAAATTGTTTCAAGAAAATTATCCAATTAAATTAATTGTAACCCACAGTCAGAGAAAATTTATTAAAATTACTGGAAAACCGGGAATGGTCAGGGAAATTTAGTTTAAAGAAAATATAGCCACTCTGTTTAATAAATTTTGCATTTTTTTCATTTTCAACTCAAATCATATAGGTATTAATATAATATTTTATTGATCATCAAGACTTGATGAAAATACCTTCAATTTTTTTATATGCATATTTTTAGATCGACGACGATTCGTCCTGCAAATGCAACCACCACAACTGCGGCGAAGTAAACCAGTTCTGCTTGGAGAACATCGACGTGAGCAACTTTTTGAACATCCATTCATTAGGCAACCACGAGCACTTCTGTCTCGCCTATGTGTTCACCTACAGGGACTTCACCGGCGGCACCCTGGGCCTCGCCTGGGTGGCTAGCGCTTCCGGCGCCTCTGGCGGCATCTGCGAGAAATACAAGACTTACACGGAAACCATTGCGGGGATGTACCAATCGACGAAAAGGTCCCTGAACACTGGTATCATTACTTTTGTCAACTATAACAGCAGGGTGCCGCCCAAGGTTTCACAATTGACGTTGGCCCACGAGATTGGCCACAATTTTGGATCACCGGTAAGAAAATATATATTTTTTTAATTCCCTAGTAGCACCAAATATTCATTAAATATGTATTTAATATTTAATGAATATTTAATGTTTTTTAAATATTTATTAAATAATAAATAGTTTTTTTTAAATATGCATGTTTTTAAATACGTAGTAAATATTATATATTAAAAACTAACTATTTTGTTTCAGCATGACTACCCGCCAGAATGCAGACCTGGCGGCTTGAATGGTAATTTTATAATGTTCGCGTCGGCCACTAGCGGCGACAGACCGAACAACAGCAAATTTTCGAGTTGCAGTATTAGCAACATAAGTAATGTTTTGGATGCCATTGAAGAAAAGAAGAAAATAAACTGCTTTAAGGCATCAGCCGGCGCTTTCTGCGGCAACAAGATTGTCGAGGACGGGGAAGAATGTGACTGCGGATACGATGAAAAGGAATGTCAGGTATGACAAACATTTTACCAAATTTTTCTCAAATTCTAATAAATTTAAGCCACTGATGATTTTATATAGGAGTAAAAATGCAAATACCAAAAAAAAATTTGCAAAATAAAGCATTTGTTCACCATTTTAGTCACGAATTTAATTTAGGCACGAGCGAGCTTGCGTGCCTAAAAAAGTTTATAAACGAGTTGCATACCATTCTTTTTCTACAACAAATACTTAATATTATCTAATAAATGATTTAAATTAAATATTTGTATACAGCGACATCTATACGAAAATAAACTAACCATCCCAATAAACATTTTTGACGTAATTTTCACCATTAACATTGCCTGTTATTATTTTAATCAAACTTGATACTTTAAAATATTAAAATATCTTCAAATTATAATTATGTTAAAAAATATATTATCTTTTGATTTTTTTATTACCATAATGGCAAAATATTATTACGAAGTATTAAAAATTCTTACATGGAAAATGGTATCAATGGTATCAATTTTAAATTAATATAATAGGGTCACTAATGACATTCATTGGTTATTGTATTTCTTTGAAATTAAAACAATAAAACTTTTTAGTAAAAATAAACCTTTTTACTACAATCATGTATAATAATAATTATTATCATTTGTTTACAAGTTGTTTTATGATATTCGTTTTTTTTTAGTAATATTACTATTACAAATATTTGGAACTTTTTACTCATTACTTTATAATGACTTTTTTATTGACTCAATACTTTTGGCTGCAGATTGTCGCAGGTTCTCTGTTATTAATTTCAGATTGAAAAATTTTATTTGGCCAATTATCTTATAATAATTGGTCAAACTTGGTGATTTTTCTTTGACCAAACATTGTCCATTAACTGATACTATAAGCACTGTTTGTACAATTTCTAGGCAATGATGAAACAATTTTATTAAGGCATTAAAAAATTATAATTTTTGTTAAAAGCATTGTCGCGATATTTAATTTAGGCCGTGTAAATTAAAGCGGTTTCATATAAACTGCGCACCACTCAATGTGTCGCGACCAAAAAGTTCGTTCTTTTTCAAAACGACATAACTTTTTTGTTTCTTGAACGATTTTATTTTGGTCTGAGATGTCTGCTAGCCTCATCCTCTGGTAATTCATGATATAGATATGAAGCTCACGGTTCGTCAAGTAAATTTCCTACGGGGTGATATATTAAACTGTGAAAAATTTCAATAACTTCATCCAAGACCCGTTTGTAAAAAAATAGTTTTTTTCTCGTTTTTATTTTGAAATAATGAAGTATTATGTGTTACCTTGAAACGTTTTTCAAGTTTTTCAAATTGGAATCTTAGCAACGACGATATGATTTTTTTCGGATTTTATTAAGACATTTAACAGCCGGGAATTGTTTTTGAATTTTGATTCTTGGTGATTTTGGTTTAATCTGAAACTTAAATTTGACAACTGAATCACAATCAGGAGGTCAAAATTATAAAGAAAACATGCCACGAACGTAAAGATCGGTTCAGGTTTAGTTTTCGCAAATTTTTACCAAAATGTCATTTTGAAAAAGTGGTCTTTACTTAGGCCCCTTTGAAAATAATGGAAGTTTGTTGCTTGTCGCTTGTTCAGAATTATTCAAGGAACAATCTTTCACCATCTTATTTATTGTTCTTAAAAAGACTGAGTGTATTGCCTACCAAAAAGCCTTAAATGTACTCTTTTGTAAAAAAAATCAGATTTTCGTTGCTACGATTCCAATTCGAAAAATTTGAAAACATTTTCAAGGTAAGATATAATACTTCATTATTTCAAAGTAAAAACGAGAAAAAATATTTCTTTTTTCAAACGGGGCTTGGATGAAGTTATTGAAATTTTTCACCGTTTTACATATCACCCTGTAGGAAATTTACTGGAAGAACTGTGGGCTTAATATCTATAGCATGAATTGCCAGAGGATGGGGTTAGCAGGCATCACATACCAAAATAAAATCGTTCAAGAAACAAAAAAGTTATGCCGTTTTGAAAAAGGACGAACTTTTTGGTCGCGACACATTGAATGCTGCGCAGTTTAGATGCGAAATGCGAAGAAATACAAAAAATGTCTTCATTGGTCCATTTTATTTGCGGGAAAAGCGTTTTGACGTTTCGACAGATCCTGCGAATTCGCAAGATTTGAAATCTGGGGGGCGGGAATCTTGAGATTGATTCATATTTTGCAAAAATCGCACGAATTTGTCGTGATGCGCATGCGCATTAATTAATTCTGCCTTTCAATGGTATAATTGCCACTGGTATAATTATTCATCCATAATAAAAACACAAAATCTCAATTTACATAAAACAAATAGAAAATGTTAACCAAGTATGGCAAATATCGCCTAGGGAGAAAATTAAGTCCCCAAAATAACATGGCAAATATCACCTAGTGAGAAAAAAATTTCCCTAAAATAGTTCGCATCTATATGAAATAGGAGTTGCAAAATGCGAATTTCGCTTTTATAATGTGGCGACAACAACTTAAATTAAGAAACCTTTTTTGAAAATTTGTTAAAAATAATTTTGTAATCTTATAATACACAGTATCTAATTTAGTGACAGTTCATTTTATTACTTGAATTTAATTCATAATCGTACCTTAACGTTAAAAAACGTTATTATTATTATTATTATTATAGTCTGTCCTTTTACTATACCGTACCTTCATTTGCAAGCTAACCATAGGGAAAATACATTGTAACTGGACCAGATAAGTCAGCACGAAGCGAAAAACGTTGTAGAAATGATTTGGACGCGTGGACGAGTACGCTAGCATGCGCCGTAACAGTTGACCTTGCTTCATACATCGATGCTTTATTATTGTTTTTTATTTTGTGCGGTGTAAATCTGGTAAAATTTGTTTTAGTACGCATGTCTCGACGACGCATCCAAATCATTTCTGAAAAGGTTCTCGCTTTTTGTTGACTGCGACTTATCTGGTCCAGTTACAATGTATTTTCCCTATGGTTAGCTTGCAAATGAAGGTATGGTATATATATATTGAATCAACAGTTTTTGTGATTAAATACATTCAATATTTTTTTGGATTTAAAAATTAAATAGTTAATTTACATCCAAGAAATTATTAAATGTTGATTCAATATATATATAGTAAAAGGACAGACTATAATAATAATAATAATTCAATATATATGTAGGTATACTTTTTCTCTCAATGTACGAATGTGGCGCAAAAATAAATATCCAAACATCGATGGCATAGAAAATCACGACATGATTTTTTATGCCATCGGTGTTTGGATATTCATTTTTGCTACACATTCGAACATTAGCAATTGAATCAACAGTTTAACATTCAATATTTTCTTGAATTTAAATTAACTAACTTTTTTCTTTTTATGTATCGTTTCATTTGGCTTTCTTTTACTAAGCACTGCATTTCTCCTGGAAAGTAAATCCAGTATTGACGGTATAAATGCATGCCTTTAATTTGTTATGCGATGCTTTTTAATGTAGCAGATTACGGTAGGACGTAGCGTAATTAATGATTGTTTGATGTTTTTGTATGATATAATTATTATTTTAATTGGCAATTAAGATAAACTTTTTAAATTTTAATTTATATTATCGGAATTAAAATTAAATGGAAAAATATAAAAAAATGTCAAATGCATTTGTTCTTTCATTGTATGGACGCCACTGACAATGATATATTTTCGTAAAAAATGAAAATAATGAACCGCGCGCTTATTAGGACTATTTATAGTGAACTACGTCACAGAGGAGGCTTCACGTTCGAAGATTCCGTTGCTATCCAAAATCCATTCATTAACATTCTACCGGAGTTTACGATAAAGTTTCGAACAGGCAGCGAATATACACATGAATGTTTGCGAATGCGAATCTCAAAAATTTTGCGAATATTCGTTAGGTACATCACGAAAATTGGCCATTGTTCGCACAATTAAGTTCAATATGTTTTGTCAATCTTTGGCCAATTCTAGCCCAAGTTTTGTTTGCTAGAATGTAATTTTTTAACTTTCTGTATGATCTGTAATTTCTGTATTTCTCCCAACACAGGACAAGTGCTGTTATCCGCGCATAGTGAGCGAGGAAGACAAAAAGTTCAACATCTCGGCGTCAGGTTGCAACCGTCGACGTGGTACCGAATGCTCGCCGAGCCAGGGACCATGCTGCAGCAGCGACAACTGTCGCTTCGTGCAGAAATACGCGAACGAGGTGTGCAAAACCAAGTCCGACTGTTCCATGTCCTCGAAGTGCAACGGCTCTTCGGCAGAGTGCCCGACACCCTTACCCAAGCCGGACAAGACGCGCTGCAACAACGGCACGCAGCTTTGCGTCAAAGGCGAGTGCAGTGGCTCCATCTGCCTCGAGTGGAACCTGCAGGCGTGCTCGATCACCACGCAGGAGCACCCGAACATAGACAAGAGGAAGCTGTGCGAGCTTGCGTGCCAAAACGGCACGGACATTTGCCGGAGCACCAGTGAGTTTGCCAGTAAAGTGGGTCTGCCGCCGGGCGGTATCAGCTTAAGGCCCGGCAGTCCGTGCGATAATTTTCAGGTGAGTTTTTACGAAAGATGAAACGGAAACGGCTATCGCGTCGTATTAGAATACTCAAACAAAACGACACATTACCATAAATTTCGTTGTCAAATTTAAAGTTAAAAGGGAAATTAATACTATATGCCGATGATGCAACTTTTGTCTATTTTGATCATTCTATTGAAAAAATAAATGCGTTCATGGCTTCTGATCTGGAATTAGTAAGGGGGTGGTTAGACTCTCATAAACTTTCACTCAACATTGATAAGTCTTATTTTATTTTTATTAAAAAAAATAACAGAGACTATGGTATTTATCAAAATGATGATTTTCCTTTGAGGCAGGTAGACAGTGTGAAGTTTCTGGGCTTGGTAATCGATGACAGGCTCTCTTGGAAGGAACACATAGCTTATGTTTCCAAAAAGATTTCCGGTCCGATTGGTATGCTAGGGAGGTTATACGCTGTTCCCAAAAAGTATTTAAGGTCAATCTACTTTTCACTGATTCCTAGTCACTTACAATATTTAAATATTGTATGGACTTGTAAAAATTTAAAACGCTTAAAAGTATTGCAAAACAAAGCAATTAAAAATATTTATTCTCTTTAAAAGTCGCTATCCAACAGCTGATCTTTATAAGGATTGCAATATTAGGTCATTAAAAAGTATATATGCATATCAAGTAAATATTTTTATAAATCAAGTTTTAAACGGATCACGCCACTCATGTATTGAATTCTCTCATAGAAGAGATGTGCATAATTATGCAACCAGAATCAGGGAAAATGTGGATTTACCTCGAGTATTTTCAGAATTCGGTAAAAACTCTATACTGTTTAGGGGAGCATCTGTTTATAACAAATTACCAAACAATATAAAAGAACTTAAAGGATTTAAATTTAAAAAGCATATGTCGTCTTGTGTGGCGAATTTTATTGAATAAACAATGATATATCATAGTATTTTTTCTTTTTTCTGTGATATTATATTATAATGATATGTTCCTATTTAGAATTAAAAATGTATTAATAAAATAAAATTAATTTAGATTTAAAAAATGTATTAAGAATTAAAAAATATAGGTATATTAAATTGTATGATTAGAGGTGTCCCTCTATAAACTGTATGTTTCTTGGGATGAAAATAAAGTATTTTATTATTATTATAAATTTAAAAAATATTAGGACAAATTCGCAAAATAGTTCAAAATTAAAAAACAGTAGGAAAAATTCGCAAAGTATAAAATTTATATGCTAGGGCAAATTTGCTACATTTTCAATTTTTTAAATTTTAAGCTTGAAAGCCTAAAAGCCCAAAAGCTTGAAAAATTATTTCTTCTTCAAATCTACTTCAATCATTTTCTGATGTAACTGATCAATTAAATAACATTGTTAGCACTAAAAATGTTGACTTCGTAAAGAAAACCTAAACAATACAATACCCAATGATTATAATAATAATTATCAATTTTATATTAAACTACTACAAAATTAGATTTTTTCTCCCTCCCATAAAAAATTTCTAAAGATTTTGAAGAGACTTAAAAAATAAAATTACGTAATTGTTTTTAGTGCGATCCAATAAAATGTTATCCACGGTATTTGGCACATAATATAACAGCTTCGATAACAGATACACTGTATCGTTTAAAAAAAAATTATATACTAAATAAAAGGACAAACATTAAAGCTACATTTTAAAATTATTTAAATTTTATACAGGTTGTTGCACATTTACGAAATATATCAAATAGTGTTGTTAGGTTGTGTCTAACTAAAAGACCAACATGTAAATTTTGGATTTTTTTAACCACAGATTTGTATTTATTTTATATTCAATATATATTGTATATTGAATATAAAATAAATACAAATCTGTTGTTAAAAAAAATCCAACATTTACGGCTTACACACCCATTTCTGCCAAAAAATTAATATGAAGTGAATATAAAAAATATAATGTATAATAGACTGGGCCAAAAAAATCAACTATTTTTTTTTGAAAAGTAGGTACCTATATCGAAAATAGGGTTTGGGGTGACAAAAAAAATTATTGTGAAAGTTTGAGTCCATAATATTAATATTAAGAGGTCTATCATCGCAATTTTAATTTTTTTTTCCTCAGCAAGTTTTTGTCTCAGAACTCCCAAACCATTGAGTTTAACAAAATTGACTCGAAAATATTTTTTTAAGAAAATTAAATGCTCTACAAAAAAGGTTAAAGTGAAATTTTCCGTCAGATGAACATTTACTTAAAATCATGCCTTTAAAATTGGTATAGTTTTACATTTTGATCATTTAAATTGGATTTTGTAATTCATGTAAAAATAAGATACCCATAAAAAAACGATAAATATTCTTATGGGAAATCAAATAAAAAAAAAAGCCTATCAACATTTTTGGCTAAATTCACTCAATCAAAAGTTATTCAAGGTTAAAATTTCGTTTTGACTTCAAATTTAACCTTGAATAATTTTTGATGGAGTGAATTTAGCCAAAAATGATTCAGGGTACTGATTTTTACATGAATTACAAAATTCAAAAGTTAAAAGATCAAATTGTAAAACTATACCAATTTTTAAGGCATGATTGTAAGAAAACGGTTTATCTGACGGGAAATTCCAATCAAACCTTTTTTTGTAGAGCATTAAATTTTCTTAAACTCAATGATTTGGGAGTTCTAAGATTCTAAAATTGGGATGATAGACCTCTTAATATTAATATTATGGACTCAAACTTTCACCATAATTTTTTCGATGTGGCTCCCGTCCCGAGGCGGGACTTAACTTCGATCCCGACAGACGTCACACACTGTAAATCCGTTTTTATTACCCGAGCTTTTATAATTGGTGTCAAGCTGGATGGCTTAGATGGTAGGGCGGTCGCTTGGCATGCGAGAGGTCCCGGGTTCGATTCTACTAGAAGTTGTCAAACTTTTTTTATTTTTTTTATTTTATAAATTTGTTGTTTCTTTGTTAAAAAGTGTTTTATTTTTATAGTAACATAAATTTGCCCATTTTAGTTGGGTTTTTTGCTCAATGGGGCGGGGTCGGTTGGGTTGTGTTGTTGAGTTTGGGTTGGTTTGGTTTTATGACGTAACTAACGTGCCCTTAACATGTATACAGGTACAATTTATTATTATTTTATTATAACATAACAAATCTTAAAATTATGACGTCAATCGGGACTGAACTTAAGTCCCGCCTCGGGACGGGAGCCACAGCGTAATTTTTTTGTCACCCCAAACAATATTTTCGATATCCTTTACAAAAAAAAATAGTTGTTTTTTTGTTGGCCCAGTCTAATATATAATATATGATATATAATAAAAAGGTATCATATTATTATAAAATAATTAATTTTTTAAGCAAAATTTGAGGTATGTCAATTTATAATTTGTTCCTAAAACTCAAGACCATAGCGAGGATTTTAATATTAAATAGGTATACTTTCAGGGAAAACCAATTTAATCTGGTTTAAAATTTTGTGCTGCATTGTGCTGAGCATTTTTAAAATAACCAGGTTATGTTATAATCCCGATTTTTATTTTTGACAGGGAATTTAAATATCAGCGTTTTTAGATCATGTATGAGCATTTAAAAAAATCCTCATCCTCTAATTTTAACATATTTCAGTGTTTTTCTGTAAGCGCATAAGCAATTTTTTTAGTTTTCAATATTTTTTTTACAAATTCATGAAAAATGTTAAATCATAAATAGTGTTTTTTAAATTATCATATTCAAATTCCATTGACAACATGATGAGCCGAGAAAAATGTCCGCACGGCGATCAAAGAATTTATTTTTGTAATATACAAGGTATCCCCAAACTTTGAGTGAACACAGTTTCGTAGAAACGGGGGTTGCTTTAAGCTTATTTTCCCATACAAACTTTGAGGTTAGGTTTTTGTAACATTTGATGCAATTTATCGATTAAACAGTTCGGCTACCATTAAAAAGGTGTACCTCTCAAACTTCGATAAAATAAACCGTTTCCGAGATATTTGAGATTACAATAATTGTTTTATCGCATTATTTAAAAGGATTAAAAGGTATATGATAACAAATTTTATTTTTTAATTGAAAAAACTAAAAAGGGCATTCCATGAGCCTCGGGACTTTTTGCCCTGACCGTCACATTAAAAAAAATGTAGTTTTTTCAATTAAAATTTTTTTATCATATAACTTTTAGTCCTTTAATAGATATAACAATTATTGTAATCTCGAATCCCTGTTGAAAAACCCGCATAAAAACTTATAAAAGTTCTATAATATTTAATAAGGATGTATGCGGTTTCTTAGTTTCTATAAGGTTTTGTCTAATTGCTCATAAGGGTTTTATCAGAATTCTATCAGTTTTTATAAGAAATAGTTTTATGAGCCGTGACTTATAAAACTTTTATTAGTTTTTATAAGACTTTACGAGGTACAAATTTCTATAAGAAATTCCAACTAAAATGTTGAAGTGAATTTATAAGATTTTATGTGCACAAGACTTTTATCAGTTTTAATGTGGTTCCTATTTGATAATTTTTTATGAGATTTTATGTGACTCTATGAGGGATGTAAGTTTATTGGTTTGTATAAGGCCTTAACTATTAAATGTCTATAAGAAGCTATAAGCATATATGAGAAATGAATTTTATCGGATTTTATTGTTTTTTTTATATCTAACTTTTATAAGTTTTTATAAGACTTTATATGGTAGGTGCAAATGTCTATAAGGAATTCCAGCTAAAATGTTAAAGAGTACTTATAAGACTTTGTGCACATGGCTTTTATCAGTTTCAGTATGGTCCCTATTTGATCATTGTTTATGAGTGTTTATGAGACTCTATGAGGGATGTAAGTTTATTGGTTTGTATAAGGCCTTACCTATTATATGTCTATAAAAAGGTATAAGTAATTATAAGAAAATAATTTTATCGGATTTTATTGTTTTTTTACATCTATATAAGTTTTTATAAGACTTTATGTGGTACAGTACTTATAAGATTTTATGTGCACATGGCTTTTATCAGTTTCAGTATGTTCCCGATTTGATCATTGTTTATGAGTGTTTATGAGACTCTATAAGGGATGTAAGTTTATTGGTTTGTATAAGGCCTTACCTATTATATGTCTATAAGAAGCCACAAGTATTTATAAGAAATTAATTTTATCGGTTTTTATTGGTTTTTTACATCTAACTTTTATAAAACATAATATATACCCTTCATTCACTTATCCAATAAATAATAATACCCAGCTGTTACGTGTAACACCTATAAAATATTGATAACATGATGCGTATACGCGTATAATGCGTATTTACGCATTATGTTATCAATATTCTATTGGAGTTACAGTGTAACACTCTTACACGTAACAGCTGTGTACGAGTATTTATCGGATAAGTGATTATAAAGTTTTATGATTATATAGTGTCTTATTAAAACTTTTTTAATTCTCATAAAATATTATATAACATGATCGGTAAATACCTACTGATAAAGTTTAATAAGTTTTCACTAGAGCTTAAAAGTAAGACACCATATATAGTGTCTCTTAAAAACGTATACATACTCATAAAATATGTATATTATATTTAATATTATAACTACTATTCTACTGACTAGAGTTAAAAAGTAATGTCTCTTAAAAACTCATAAATACTCATAAAATATTATATAACTTGATGCGTAAATACTGATAGTTTAATAAGTTTCGACCAGAGTTGAAAAGTAATTTCTCTTAAAAACTCATAAATACTCATAAAATATTATATACCTTGATGCGTAAATACTCATAAAGTTTAATTAGTATTGACCAGAGTAAGGTTGCCTATGATAAGTAGGCATCTACTATAATATAGTAGAAATCTACTTATCATGGGCAACCATTATTGCATAATACATCTCGCTTATGTGGCACTATTCGTTAAGTATATAAGTTGACACTGGCTGCATTGCAATTTAGGATTTAGGAATACGAACCTCGGCAAATAAACGAGTCACGAATTGTGGCCTACGACAATTTAGCTTTTTCACTGAAATTCTTTGTTGGAGCCAGGATTGTTCCGTCTAGATCGTCATGGAATTTCCGTGGTCCTCTGCTTAAACAGTGCCTGCTTTGCAAGGCCAAAGCCGCGAACCCCCACAATTTACTACTTCACGTAATATTTTGATCGATTCGACGTCATCCAACAGGTCAAAACGACGTAATGGGTGACGAAATAAATACGTTAAAAGAACGTCATACTGTCAGCTGGGTAGTGTCTCTTAAAAACGTATACATACTCATAAAATATGTATATTATATTTAATATTATAACTACTATTCTACTGACTAGAGTTAAAAAGTAATGTCTCTTAAAAACTCATAAATACTCATAAAATATTATATAACTTGATGCGTAAATACTGATAGTTTAATAAGTTTTGACCAGAGTTGAAAAGTAATTTCTCTTAAAAACTCATAAATACTCATAAAATATTATATACCTTGATGCGTAAATACTCATAAAGTTTAATTAGTATTGACCAGAGTTGAAAAGTAGTTTCTCTTAAAAACCTATAGAATTTGAAAAGTTTGTATCAGAAATTGCTGTTTCATAGGCCCTATAAAATCTCATCAACTTTTATAAGTTTTTATAAGTTTTTTTTTATAAGTTTTTATGCGGGATTTTCAGCAGGGATATCTCGAAATCTGTTTATTGTACTTATCATGGAAATTTTCGATACCGTCGTAGTGCGACTTTTGTACAAATTATGTTGGTACAAAAATTTTTAATCACATACTTACCAGTGAAAAATATATAATACTCTTGCCAAGTATAATATTTGTATGCAATTTAATCTAAAAAAAGTAATTTATTTGGATTATTTCAAGATTTAGATTTTCGGTAGATTATTGATGTCTATCGGTAGATCGGTAAAATTTTACCGAAAATTCGGTAGGGTTGGCAACACTGTCACAAGCACACACTTTTAAATGCGACGCAGTCTCATTTCGAGCTATTTTAAATTTAAAAACGAAATTTGTAATTGGAGAACGTCATGATGCTATTCAGAAGAAAAAACGTACCTTCATAATTTTTTACATTAACAGCGGATATCTCGAAATCAAACCAAGATCGATACATATGTTTATCGGGTATTTTTCATATAATTAACGGTGGAATATGCTTTCAATCTAATGCATTTCCAGGGTTACTGCGATGTGTTCTTGAAATGCCGCGCTGTTGACGCTGACGGTCCGCTGGTGAGGCTGATGAATTTGTTGCTGAGTCCTGAGAACCTGGTCAACGTCGCGCAATGGATAACAAAGTATTGGTGGGGCGTGTTGCTGATGGGCATCGGGTTTATCATATTTATGGGATTGTTCATCAAATGCTGCGCCGTCCACACGCCCTCTTCCAATCCGAAAAAAACGCCCGCCAGGCGCATCGGAGATACTTTAAGAAGACCGATGAACACCTTGAGACGAATGGTATGTAGATTATAGTTTTTTACAATTGCTCCTTTCTCACTCTCGAACCGGTTTGGATTATGTATTAAAATGCGCAGTTGCTATTAAAAATCTTTTTTATGGATACTGCGCATGTAAAGCACAATGTTTGTCTGTTATGCAAAATGCTAAATTAAAAAAAACGTTTTTATATTTTTAATAAATTTGTATATTAGGATGTGCCAAAAAAAGGCCGTATCGTTTTTTCGCTCTTACACAAAAATTTCATTTCGCTCTTACATTAAAATTTCCCGTAGGAATAACAGGAAAATGTTTTTTTCTCGATTTTTTTCCTTGCATTCTATGTAGCCACTTTTTTCATATAAATGACTAATTAGGGGCAATCAAAGTCAAGTTTATATATTTTTTTCTACTCCCACCTTTAAAACGCCCTTTATCGTACATGTTTCCATTACACTTTTAAATACACATTGACAAGTTGTGGCTTTATGGTGCTTTAGTCACGGGCTGAAGTTAGCAACAGGTTTTTAGTCACGGGCTGAAGTTAGTTTTAAGTTAGTTGACAGTTGTCAAATGTCATAAAATCGTTAAAATAAAGTGCCTTTCTTGTAAAATAATACTAAATGAGTATGAGTATGAGTATAAGAGACGTATAACCAGCCCCATTTCCTCTTGACTCTCGAACCCCGTACAGGCCTATGTTTACTTACGCCGATTTTTGTTCTTCCCCAGCAACTGCACGGCTTCACCCGTGATTGCTGGGTGCGAATGTCCATTGCGTTCCGTACTGTCCCCTATTTGGGGCTCGAGAGCGAGAGGCGAATAGTTATAATAGCCATTCCCGGGTTCGCCGAGCCTATGCTATACGCTCGGTGGGGTATGGATGAGGGACGGGAGGGAGTTGGTTTTTGGGGGACAATTACGCCGACTTAAAACTAAGTACGACGCGGAATCCCCCTAGACCAGTCGATTAGTAATACTCCAAACATTTGGGATTACTATTTGGAGTTGGGGAGTTGTTATTTCGCTGCAGGGGTGTAGTTTCCTAGTCAAGGTCTTTGTCTTGTTCGTTATTGTCATTGTCCGTGTTCTGGTCAGATAGTTCCTGCCCTTGGTAAAGTGTGTCAGTTGTTTTTAATATTTTTGTCCCAAGCACATTTTGTGGTAGAGTTCCGTCTTTGTTTATCAAATTCCAAAGCTTGCATTTATTCACTAGTCAAACAAATCACAAGCGCGATTATTCTGTTGTCTAATGTTTACAAATCTCGAGTTTGGCTATTAGGCCCTTTTTTTTAATGTGTTAGATTTATGTGTTCAATGTTAGTTTACTCTGTCAGTCCAGTGTTTATTTCGGTCTCGATTGGGACCGCCTTACGCATTTGCTGTTGACAGACTTATTGCCCCACGCCGCGTGCCCTTCATGGGTTTTAAGATATCCCAATAAACACTTTAACGATACCTAACACCATTAACATTGCCCGTGTAAGAATTTTTAACACTTTTTAATACAATTTTGCAATGATAGTAATTAAAAACAAAACAATTGTTTAAAGTTCTTAACATAATCATATTTTAAAGTTATTTTAACATTTTCAAGTAAAATAAATGTTATGTTTAATGAAATGAATACGGGCAATGTTAATGGTGACAAATAACGGAAAATGCTTGCCGTATTTATATTGCAGATTTGTGTCAGGTCATGCATACTCTTAAAGTAAAACTTATCAGATTTTTCCCTTTGCGGATGGCCACCTTCCCTCTTCTCCGACCTCCCCCGTCCGTCCAGTGAAAAGCCTCCAATGACAGGTGGCACCCAAGTCATTCATATTACCCAACACTCCACTCCTCAATGACCGTTGCACCATTTAGCTTGCACTCCATGAAAATGTTTGTTTCACTTATCAGTTCGCACCCCTTTTTTTTTAATTATTGTTGGTTTCATCTTTAAACTTTTACGTTTCAAGAGCTCGCCCGCGTGACGCGACTCGTCTTCTCGAGAGCTGGAGCCGAACTGTAAAATAATACTAAATGTGAAAATTATTTTATTATCTCAATACAAAAATACAAAAGTATTACATAGTTTCTTAACGCCAATATTTAAACTATAACTTAAATTCGGGTAGGGACTCCACTGTAAAGTGCTCATAAAACATTTTTTCTACTCCTATTACGGAATTTGACCGTTCAAATATCACTTTTATCTATGGAATGACATATATTCCGTAAAGTTTTACAGAATGAAATATTCTATCATCGGATGACAGAATAAAAACTCGTGGCGACATCTCTGTTTTTAATATCTAACAAATTTTACACCGATCCAACCTCACTTTCTTCTAATTAAATTATTTTTCTATGGTATTTTTTGGAAACGTAGAAAAAGTATAGTCTGAAACACGTTTGGAATTGCATATTCCGCTCTCGTGAAACCGTCAAACTCGCCTTTGGCTCGTGTGACAAACTCTTCACTCGAGCGGAATATGCTGTATTCCAAACTTGTTACAGAATATACTATTCTTTACTTTCACTGTGAAAAACTGTCAATTTTCAAGAAATACATTTTGATTTATAACCTTTATAATCTATGTTTATAAAATATAAAAATTTGACATTTGACGGTGTGTCCCCTATTGTTTCATAGATGGCGCTCTATACAAAGGTTTCATTTAAATCATTTTAAGATAATAATAAGTATTTGTCATAGAAAAAGTATAGTATGCACCTCGTTTATAAACTTTTCTATACACTCATTAATTTAAGTACTCGCTCGCAAGCTCGCTCGTGCCTGAATTAAATTCGTGTATAAAATGGCGTTTATCAAACTTAATACATAATATACTATTATATACTTCCCCATTGATAAGCTGTGATTTTATGGCGTTTTAGTCACGGGCTGAAGTTAGCAACAGTGGCTTTTGGGCATTTTAGTCAAGGGCTGAAGTGAAAATTGGGAAAAAGTGAGGTTAAATCCGTTGACAATTGACAGATGTCAAATGTTTAACCAATTAAATTGGCTTTAAATTCTTATTTCTGTTCATTGTAGATAAAGTACAGTATGCAACTTCTCTAGACACTCGTTTTTATTAAACACTCTCGCAAGCTTCGCTCGTGCCTAATAAAACTCGAAACTAAAACTTGATACATAATATACTATTACTTACCAAAGGCCTTGTAAAATGCAAATTTATAGAAACTACACGTTCTTTAGATTTTTAAACTAGGCCAAACTTTGTAGTATATTCAATGTTCTACAAAATTGTTTTTTTTTTTACAAATTTATTGTCACGAATATATGGCTTTTTAACTTTCAATCAATCATCAATAGTTTATTAACTACAATTAAAAAATCATAAAAATGACTTGGTGGGTCTATAGACCGTTGTATTTGATACTATATTTCAATGAAACCATCTTTTTATAATTGCTGCGATAACTTCACATAAGTGTGATAAATCGTTGGATTTCTTGATTTTTTTCCAATCTGGCGGCCAGGGGAAAGATGGTGGTGGTAACTCAAAATCGAATAGGCGATAAAAATTACAAATATGATAAAAATGTAGAAAAATCTTGTTTAATCAAAATTTACAGTAAAATTAATGCACCTTCATGCACCTCAATGCACCTTAAAACTGTTTTTTAACTCCTTTAATAATAAATAAAGGTTTGATTAAAAACATGACATCATAATTTTGATGATTTGGAAATTTTAAAAAATTTGATACCTATTACAAAGAACCGCTATATTGGATTAATTTATTTATAATACTTTCTTATAACTAATTTCTCACGCCACAATCACACATGTATGCGAATCACTGTCACGGGCCCCACTGTCACTCATATACACTGCGCGTCAAAATTAACGCATAATAAGTAAAAACATTCTAACTCTAAAACGCCTTTACTAATCTTTATGAAACTTTGTATAAAAATACTTCAACTTATATCTCAGATTACGTGTTCTCGAAAAACCCTCGGTTTTTCGAGAAAATATATCTAAAGCCCTTTTATTTAATAATAAAAAACGTTTGAAAAATAACTTTTAGGGAAATTTTGTTTAAGTTAATAAAAAATATGCTGTTAAAGACCGTATTTATGTTAGTATACCCTAAAAATTTTGTACAAATCAAACGAACAGTAACGAAGATACAGTGCTTCAAAGTCGGTAAAAATGACCCCTTTTTGATTATTTTGCTTTTTTATTATTAAATAAAAGGGCTTTAAGGATATTTCATCGAAAAACTCTTGAACACCTAAACTGAGATATAAGTTAAAGTATTTTTATTCAAAATTTTATAAAGATTGGTAAAGGCGTTTTAGAGTTGGAATTTTTTTACTTATTATGCGTTAATTTTGACGCGCAGTGTATATTTTCGTGACGCCTCTCATCATGTGACTACTTCTGTTGCCTGCTAGTATTTTACACTGAATTTCTTAATTTTGAAGTAATATGCTCCATTATAGATTTCTATTTATAGTGATTTTTTTATTGTAACTTCTGCTTTAGCGGCATCATCCTGGTGGCGCCCAAAACGCAACCCGCGAAGGGGGCGGGGAAAGAAGAAGTCGCAGTAGCGGCGATAGAGGCGAAAGACCAGGACGATCTAGTCACGGAGGGCCGCGGCAAGGCTACGGCGACCGAAGAGGTCACTACCACAACAAAGGTAATTATTTGCACGAAAATTTCCAAAATAATGCATTAGGTTTGCCATTTTGTACCTTGATCTGATACTATCACTATTAATTTAAGAAAACATATTTCCTGCAAAATGGCAATGATTTTGGTTCTTCTAAATAAATAAATAGGCAACCTAGTCACTATTAATTAGTTTTCCTGTTATCTTTTATATATAGGTTAAAGGGTTTTTCAATAAAAATGATATGTTTTATTTATTAAATAAAACAAAATCAAAATGAGTAAAAGAAACAATCTTTTTCTTATTTTAAAGTATAATCTACAGTGTTGGAATAAACTCGGTTTTTTCTATAAAATCCAAAATTTTTTAAGGCGTATTTTTTGGGTCAGTCAACTATAAAATGTATTGGAGGAATACAGATTGGCCGGGGAATCCCCGAAAAAATTAAAAGTTTTGTTTGATCTTTGGTGTTCAATATTTAATTTGAATGCCTAAATTGTTGTTGGTTTATTAGCATAGACCAATGACTTTAAATAACACCACAAGAAGAAGTCCAAAGGTGTGAAGTCACAGCTACTTGTAGGCCATTCGATGAATTGTTGAAAGAACATGTTTGTTGAATCAGTATTTTCTAATTTAGGCCATTAAAATTCCGTTAACATTGATCTGTAACGCTAACGGCAACTTCTTGTTCATTTTCAAAAAAAATAAGGTCCGATGCCACCGTGCCACATTTTCCTTGCAAAATCATCAGCAAATTCCGATGATCCAAAGGCTTCAATTTTTGCGTCATACTAATTTCGTAAAAATGCAAGCCCAATTTCAACAATACAAAATGCCATGTTGTTGTGGCAGACAGTCCCAACTGTTGAGAACGCCTTGGAATTGATAAATTTGGGTCTTCATCAACACTTGCCTAAACGGCAGCAAAAATCTCGTCACTTGCACATTGAATTAAAAATATCTGCCTATTTAATAAAATAAAAATTAAGTTGAATTAAAAATATCTCCTATGATATTTTTAATACATTTAAAAATTTCTCCTAAGATATTTTAAATTTACCGAATTAAAAATATGTGTTAAGCAAAAATATACAAATATTAGAAGCAATTATTTTAAATGAACTAAATTAAAAATATTAGTTTGGCATAAAAAATAAATCTAATTTTTAATTATCGAATTAAAAGTGTGTGTATACCAAAAAAAATACAAATATAAGAAACAGATATTTTAAATTCAATAAATAAAAAATATCAGTTTGGAATAAAAATTAAATCTAATTTTAAAATAACTGCTATGATATTATTAATTTGCAGAATAAAAATTCTTGTGTGATTTTTTTTATCTCATTTAAAATATCACTTTAGTGTATAGTGTATAAAAATAATTCCTGAATAAAAATAAAACGGCGCCCCATAGTGGCAGAAGATTTTGACATTTAAAATTTGGCCACACTTTCGATTTGAAATTATATCACCCCTATAATTGAAAAACCCTTTATTTTTTCATTTATGGCCACTTGCATCGTTTTTTTTAACTGATCAGTTAAATAAACTGCCAAGTTAAAAGGTAACAGAAGATTAGTGTCCAAAATCTTGCACCGTGATTTTTTCACTATGGTTTAAAATTTGATTAAAAAATGGAAAAGATTGGTGCTAATAACTAACTTCACACTTATTTGTGACGCAAATATATTTTGACGTTAAGAGTTTGATTCTTTATAATCTGTGGTTCGATTCTTTATCATCTGTGGTTCGATTCTATTTCATGTACGACTGATTCAATTGATGGTAAGAGAGAATAATATGGATACAGAACCTGAAAAAAAGAGGGCTCGCTCCTCAAACTTTTCAGAAAATGAAAAAAAACATTTAATTAATCTTGTGGATACAAGGGTATCATTGAAAACAAAGAGACAGATAGAGCTAAAACAATTACAGCAGGAAATTAACAATTTTAGGAGAAAAAGAAAATATATGTATTATAATAATAACCATGAAGTGACTATTTATTTTATTTTAATTTTAAATAAGTATACATTAAATAAAACATCAAAAATATTATTCACTTTAAATTTTATAAATTCGCAAAATAATCTTGTATTAATTGATTTTGAATCATAATGCGATCTTTTGGATGACTAACAACAGGGTACTCCAGTTCATGGCATTAATATCAGCAGGCAATGGCGGCTCTGGTTTATACATGTCTCTAGCAATATTATGTAGTACAGCTGCAGCTGGAATAATCTTAAGCTGTATGCCAACACGAATAATTTGAAAAATTTCGAATAACTCGAAAATTTTCAAATTCGCGAAATAATGAAATATCTCTGGATTGCTTCCATTTAAATTCCTTTAAATCTTGTATTGAAATATTCTACTTACGAATAATATACTTTTCGTTAAAAAATCAATTACCCAGAGAAAAAAAATCTATAAGAAAAAGGTTACTCATGTAATGTTTCAGTATCGTATTTATTATTTTTGCACAGAAATTTGTAGCAAATTTGCTGCGATATAATTTGTTATTTCATTCTCTTTCAAAAAAAAAAACTATACTTATTGTTCTATTTGTGTAACTATATTTCATGGTTTGAATAAAATGTATATTGACTGTTAAATTCATATTTGAATATTGAACATAAGAAACCCTGAATTATTCGAGAATTTTCGAATTATTCGATTCGAGTTCCGAATCGAATATTAATATTCGATTCGGAACGAATAATTCGTAAGTTAGCACACCCCTAATATTTATTGGATTTTCTAAAGATGTCAATAAATAATATCTTTGAAAAAAAAGTTCTTGAATACCGATGACTTTTCTAATTTAAACCACCGAAATTGGGGGTTTATTTTAACAGTAGTTTAGAGGTATTTAAACAAGGATTAATTTACGGTGCAAGCCAGTTATGAAAAATAAACCTGTGTTAAAAATAAAACCACTGTTAAACTTACGGTGCAAATGGCCATTAGACAAACACTTGTAATTTGTATTATTGCTATATAATATTTATTTAAATAGACTATTATGCGTTAGCAGCGTCGAGCAACAACACCGGGCAGCAGCAGCCGCAGGCTCACGGCGCCCGGGAGCCGTACGCGGGCGCCTACGACCGCGAAAGCTACGAAATGATGCGGCACAAAGTCTGACAAAACGCCGCCGTCACTGTCGACGACGGGCCGCAGCTGTCAGACTTTCCCGCCTCCCTGGCAGCCGCCACCGCCGCGATTGCGGACGCGACGCCGCCGCCGCCGCCCGCTTCGCCGCGTCCCTGATCGATGAAAAAGCGGCCGCCAACCTGCACTGTGATCTATACCGATGATGAATTATTTATTTAACGGACGTTGTTCTACGATCGGGAAATCCGTTGTCAAAAAACCGCAATTGATACGGGTGAGCAGGTGCGTTCCCAGCACGAATGTGGGGGCGGAACTTTCAAAAATTGACCAGTAACTTTCTAAAAGGTATCGTTTTTTTTTAATACTTAATCTACAAAGTTTTTTGTTAGAAATCGCCTTTTTGTTGTTTTGCTGCAATGGGTTCATTTTAGTAAAATTAATGCCATTAAAAATCATAGTTTTTGTTTTAGGGTTTCAGAAAATCTACATATATTTAATTTCATTATTTAATTTAGAATTTTTTTTTATTTTACAATTATTCCAGGCATTCCATTCTTTGTTGTTTTATGTGGCTAAAGTTCTATGAACTTGCTAACAAATTTTCTTTAATTTAGGGAATTTGTAAAATAGTCACTATCTCTTCACAAAATGCACTAAAAAACTACATTACTAAATAAAATCTCGTTCAAAACGCTTTTTAGGACGAATAATAGAATATTCTGAAACACGCAATTCCAAACGTGTTTCAGACTATACTTTTTCTACCAATAAGAAAATGTTCACTTTCCCAAAGTTTTTTTAAATTTTACAAAAATTATAGTACTAGTTATTAAGTATTAATCCTGTACAAGATTTTGCTTTGTAACCTCTGGTTATCAAATTACAGGGGTGCAAAGGTTACAGTTTTCCTTTGACGAACTCAAAATAAAATATTCCCTAAAAATATATAACAATTTTAAAATTAAATATTCAAAAAAATTATTTTTTAAGCTTTTTCAATTTTTTTCAATGAAGCAGATTTTTCTTCAGTTAAATTTTTTCAAAAAAATGCATACAAAAATAAGCTCATTGGAAAGCTTCTACTTCCACACATTTCCATAATTAAAGAAAATTTGTGAGTAATTAATTAGCCAGGGACTGTATATGACTCAGAATTTCCGAAGTGGGGTCGCGATTTTTAATGTAATCATAAAAATATAAAGTCATACAAATATTAATTATGTACCAATTCAACAACAATCCACTCAAAAGTTTTGAAAAAATCACATTTGTTTTTACTTATTTTCACAATTAAATAATTCGCCGATATTTATTTAGAAAAATTAATTACATGTACAATACTTGTGGAAAAATTGTTGGGTATGATAAGTGTTGGCTGAACTTTAAATGGGTGCAATGGACTATTGAAAAAAATATTTAAGTAGTTTGTTTATAACTTTTTTTGCAACCAAATGCAATTTTCGACCAGTTTTGTGATCTAAAATACATTTTTTCAATAGTCAATTGTATCCATGTAAATAATTTTTCAATTAAATATCGCCGAAATATTTAATTGTAAACATAAGTAATAAATGAAATTTATTTAAAACTTTTGTGTGGATTATTGTTGCATTGGTACCTAGTGGATTTTTTTATTATTTCATGAAACATCGCGGGCCCACTTCAGGAATTTTGACTCATATACCTAATACTTTTGCCACATCCTTAACATTAAATGGATGGTTGAACTGGCCGCAAAAATTACAAATTAAAATATCGAAAATTAATTTGTCAAAAATTACAATTGTCTAAATTATTGTTTTTGCCAATTCAAAATATTTCTTGTAATTTTTGACATACAAATTTTCGTTTTTCTTTTTATGGGAATTTTTAAATGTTATATTATAGCCCAACATTTCTGTTCAACCTTTTTATTTGGACAGGATTTTAGAGCAACAAAAGGCGAATTGGCAAGTTTATGGTCAATTAAACCTACTCAGTCAGCAAAAACGTAGCTGACAATTTTTTTATAGTAGGACACCCCCATATTCTTCGGCATGTCCCTGCAGGTGAATTCAATTTTTATAATTACCTATAATTGTAGAATTTTTAACTGTTTTAGAAAGTCAACACAGTGGGGCTAAAAGTCCTAAATTCATGACAGCTCAATTAAAAATATATGTGGAAAATCTTTAACCCATATTTTTTAATTTTGTTGTCAAATTACTTAACTCACTGTGTCAAGTAATAAGCGTCCACAAAATGTTTTTGATTTGAAATACTTAAAAAAAACAGTGTTTCTTATAATAAACCATTGGTGTTGTCAATAACTGTTTGTTCACACATGCAGACCTGTTTCCCAAATATGTGTAACATAGATTAAGAATAGGCTCTAACAAAATATTTGTGGGTACTTACTTATGTGGCTCCTATATCAGTATGTTTTTATGAAGTTTTCAACTGATTACTTAGCTTCCTTTTTGAATAAAGGCTGATTTGATATTGTTCTATACTTGTATGTATTTAAAATAAGTTTTTAATAGCAAATTTGTCATTTTATTGTTGTGAAAATTTTCAATATTGAGTTGATTTGTATAAAAAAGAATTTTGATATTTTTAAAAATGTTTGAACAAATTTGTTTTAATTTATTTGCCATGTTGCACCAAATATTATTTAGTTCATGGGTCAAATTTTCAGTCAAAATTTAAATTTGCCTGAAATATATTTTTTTTACAATAAGAAAAAAATTACACGTGTATTTATTTTATTTCAAAATTATATGGAAAATTTTCGAATTATGATTTTTTTAATTTTAGAACTAGAAAAATCGATCTTTATACAAACATTTGTAAATAGAATAAGTTTCAACAAACTTCTAATGTTCGTTGGCAAAAGTTTGAGATTAAGTCTTGTTTTAAATAATTAAATAAAAAAAATTATTTGGAGAGTTTTATTTCTTTTATGCTAATTTTGTAAATAAATAGATTTTTTTGAATTCCGGCATGTTTTTTTTAATTTTTGAAATATATATACAAATTTCAAATATTCCATGAAATATTAATAATTGTTGCTAATCGCGCTCTACAAATAAAAGTTGTTTGGATAGTGCATATACCTTTTGAAAACTAAAAAAAAATGCCAAATTTCGAAAAAGCTATTTGTTTATAAAATTAGCCTAAAAAATTAAAATATCCAAATTATTTTTTTTATATTAAAATACATGTATTTAAAACAAGAACTTTTACCAACAAACATTAGCAGTTTGTTGAATATTATTCTAGTCCTAAAATTCCGAAAAATCAAAACTTTAAAATTTTCCATATACCTAATTTCTATATATATTAAAAAAATACGTGGCAATTTTCTTTGTATCTTAAACGAAGTGTACAATATTCCAGGCAAATTTAAATTTGAACTGAAAATTTGACTTTAAATGACCCTTATATATTCCATTCAAACAATTATTAGTTGTAAAAAGCAGAGCGTTTTTGATGCAATACTTTTTGCCTCTACTGTACATAATACATATCCTTAACTTTTATATACAACGCAATATAAATCCATACAAAATACAATTGAACAAAACATATTTACCTCCTTAATTAACATGAATGGAATATAAATTTATTAATACAGCATATGTTTGATTATTGTAAAAAATTATATTATAATTAGGATTTTTTTAATTTACTGGTTTACTATGAAGTTGTGTTTAGTTTAAAAACTGTTTCCAAACGAAATTTTCAGAGATCTCAATCATTTATATTTCATCTCAGAAATGATATTTTTGTATTGTCAAAATTTAGAAATTGTCTGTAGTTGTTAGATTTTTTGGAAATTGTGATAAAGCTAACATTTTATTGATTTACTAACATGACATTGTATCAAAGGAATATATTAATGAAAAACTATGTATTAATGATATATTGTATAAAAATAATATATGTAAATAATGGAAAGATTAGTTGTTTTTTTTAGGGTCTCTTTACATAAATAGGGGGGACTCTATTTTCTATTGAACTCTGAACTGCAGAGTATGTACCAAACTCTTATTTAGGTTAGTGGGTTTACCCAAAATATTTATTTTACATTTTTTAAAATATTTATTAATTTTTAATTGATGTGACATAAACTGTTTATTTATCTTCCTACGATGATATTCTCTTAAAGAGCAATAGATGACTTCAATGTTGGAAAATAGAAAATTGTTGACCAATTGATTCAAGTTCAGCTGCCGCTACAATTGCACAAATAAGTGTTCGATTAAGATGGCTTTAATTAATTATAATGTAAATAAATGTGTTCATGTCAAATTGTAAAACAAACAAAATAAAAAATAATTTTCTGAAAAATATGTAATTCTTTTATTTGGTAATCACAAATTTTTAAATCCCAAGTGGCTGAAAAATCTTGAAATGGATCACTATTTTCCCAACTTCATAAAATTTAGGAAACAATTTTTGGTTTTTGTAGTACTCAATGATAGGTACTAAAATATTCCTAAAATATTTTTGAAACATAAACAGTTACAGATGTTATTAAAAAATGGCGAAATTTTTTGATATTTTCCATTAAAAAAATTGTTTAAGGTAATATATTCATTTGTAGAGTTTGATTATGGAACATCTGTAGGCTCTATGAGTTTGATAAATAACAGTTAGCACGGCCTATTAGCCGTGACCCTAGACCGTCTATGGCCGTGACACCAAATTCAGCGGTTACAATGAAGTAAAAATAAAACTTATTTTTTCTACTTCCACCTTTAAAACGCCCATTATCGTACATGTTTTCATGACACTAAGTGACCTTTTAAATACACATTGACAAGTTGTGGCTTTATGGCGCTTTAATCACGGGCTGAAGTTAGAAACAGGTTTTTAGTCACGGGCTGAAGTTAGTTTTAAGTTAGTTGACAGTTGTCAAATGTCATACAATCGTTAAAATAAATTGCCTTTCTTGTAAAATAATACTAAATGTAAAAATTATTTTATCTCAATACAAAAGCATAAAATAGTTTCTCAACGCCAACATTTGAAGAGTTTATATGAACATTGTACTGACCTTTTAATTTCGCCGACAGTAGGTAAACTAGATATATCCAACTATATATAACTTAAAGTCGGTCTCGGACTCCACCGAGAAGTGGTAATAAAACATTTTCTTCACTTTCACTGTGAAAAACTGTTGTTTAATCCATTTTCAAGGGATACATTTTGATTTATTATCTATGTCTATAAAACATACAAATTTGACATTAAAACAGATTCCCCTATTGTTTTATAGATGGCGCTCTATACAAATATTTAATTTAAATCATTTTTATACTTTAATTTAGAATAAAGTATTAATTTGTTAATTAATAGTTTATTAATATATTAATATACTATTAATTAACAAATTAATACTTTATTACAAATAAAAGTATCATTAACAATTAAAAACAACATAAAAAATAAACAAGTAACAATGTAAATTGTTATAACGACAAAATTAAGGTTTGTCATATTTTTGCTTTTCTTGGCATGTACCTAATAATAATCAAGCCAGGATGCTCTTTGGTTGCTCGAGTTTAAAAACGAATTTTTGAATGAATCTATGAAAGCCTTACATAATCATATATTACATTTTGACGACATTCTATGAAAACTCTTTAAATGGAGATACTACATGAAAATAAATTTAAGAGTTTGTTTTTAAATATTTTTCTGTTTTTCCTACAAAAAAAAATTATTCTATACATATATTATCAAAAGTGTTCTGGACAAAAAACGGGAAGAAAAATTTGATTCTTAATTAGTTACCTAACTAATGCTTTTAAAGTACCTACGTTATCATCAATAGCTTGTAGCTACAATCTTGTAAAAAACGTTAAGTATTAATGTTGGGGAGTGAATTTTAAATAAATGCATTTTTTATTTATTAAGAAAAACATAAAGAAAGTTGTTAAAATTGTTTATTATAAACAATTTTTTGGTGAATCTGTCTAATGCCTCATAATCATATATTAAATTTTGATGACATTCTATTAAAACTTTAAATGGAGATACTTACTACATGAAAATACAAAGTTTGATTTTAAATATTTTTGTTTTTCTTAAAAAAATGTATTCTATATATTAATTCTGAACAAAAAACGGGAAGAAAAATTATGGATTCTTAATAAACTAATGTATGCTATCATCAATAACTCTGATAGCTTATTAGCTTGTACTTGTACTTGTTTGATTTAAAAAACGTTAAGTATTAATGTCGGGAAGTGAATTATTAAATGCATTTTTTATTTATTTAGAAAAACATAAAAAAATATTAAAATTGTTTATTAATAATAATGTTTGTAAAGTTTTAAACATTTTTTATTTACGACGAAATTTCATCAAAATCCGTCAAAAACTATTTTGTTAATAACTTTTGTAATGTTTTATATTTTTATAAAATATTTTAGAATCATTAAGTAGGTACTACAAAAACCAATAATTGTTTTCTGTATTCCATGAAGTCTGGAAAAAAGTGATCCGTTTTACGAATTCTCATCCAAGTATAAAAACAAATTGTAATGTATATATAAAATTTTATTGATAAAATTATATATCAAAAAGCCTATGTTAGCTTATTTATTTTAATAACTATTACATATTATATTCTATAAATGATTTATGGGCTAATAATACCTTAAATTACTTAATAAATAAATTACATGTGAACTTTTAAAAATATAACACTTGATTATAAACGTATGTGACCATCAGTGCTTTAAAGTATTTATATATTGGCACAACTTACAAATTTTGTTCCTGCTTATAGACATCATGGAAAGCATTACGAATTAAAGCGTATGGAAAACACGATTCCAACAAATCCATTGTCAAAAAAGGCGACTCTTGTACTATCTGGTCTAATAATAAATAAACGGACTCTCTATTTTTGATGGCTTCCTTGTCTGCTTCTTGTCCCAACCGAAGAAGGCTGGATGAAGCCAAGGCCAAAAATTCCTTCATTCTATCTTCAATGTCTCCTTGTCCGCAAAGCGTAAATAGCGCACCAAAAATGTTATTTACCGCCAAAGCCATGCAGTGAATATTATTCGTGTGGCCTTCCAGCGAAGCTCTGTAAAACGAGTTTTCGGATTTTGCCAATTTTGGTATCGACACAGCCACAAATACCATCAGCAAACAGACTAGCAAGTGTTCTTCAGCATCTGGGTCAGGTTTTTGGTGTTTTAAGGCGGCCAGCAGAGTGGGGTCGACTTTGCAAGGCAACCCAGCCGCTGAAGTCATTTCGCTGACGATTTTCATTGGATCTCCACTGGGCAAGTGGTGTCTGAAATCCAAAATGGAACTGACCAAGAACGGTATTCTGTTTTCCAAAACATCGGTCAAGCTCGATTGCGCCAACTGTCTAAAACTCAGTATGACCCCAACGATCGTCATTCTTTGCAAAACATTTTCAACGTTGTTCAGCTTCTTAAATTCCTCCTTCATTATTTCCGGCTTGTCAAAGTTTGTACGTAATTTCAACAAAGTGTCCTTGTTGCCTTCTGCCAATTTTTTAAGCTCCACCACCTGGCTTGCCGTGTGCCACATTAATGTTTCGCTAAGTTGCTTCATTCCGTACGGGCCAATGAGTTCGGCTAGCGCCCTCAACTCGTTCACATCGGAATATTCCTCGGGATTAAACGGTATCGATCCTTCCCCGGTTAGGCTTACAAACGATCTTTGGTTCATTGAAAAAACAATGTTGCCAGCACTCACTCGTCGCAACAAGACCTCCGAATACCATTGGGTGTAAATCGAGGCTATGGTTTTGTCGCCATGCGTGTCCATGGGTTGTGTTTGCTGCAACAGCGAGTTGTTGAATACCCTTGTTATGTCGATATGCACGTAATTTTCAACGGTTTGCAAAACGTTCATGTATGATCTCACACACACCAACAACTCGGAAGGCTTGGCAATTTCATTGGTGTCTTGATTATGCATTACCATGCCTACCAGAGCCTTGGCGAAGCGATTTTCCAGATGCTGATGAAGGTACTCTCTGGGGGCAAACGTGTACTCCCAAACGTTAATGTTTGAAAAGTAATTGATGGCATAGCATAATTCTGTTAACGCCATATGAAGCTTGTCCATTGTGGTCAAATTCTCCCTGGTTTTCCGGAAACTTTCGGCTCCTGGTTTCTCAAATTCGTTTACGTTCTTCTTGTTCTTTTCCTTCTTTTTTCTGTTTATTTGTTGCGAAATCAGGACGGCGCAATTTTTCGGCAGCAATTTATCGCTCATTTTGCACTGGGCATCGCAAATCGCGGTTATTATATTTTTCGCCTCTTTGGCCATCTCATCCAGAAACATGTTCACAACCGATAAACTTCTTTCTCTGATGTGATGACGTTCTTCGGGACACAGCTCGTGCGTGCAGTGTTGGAAGTGGCTGCATATAGAAGGAAACGCTACGATGAAACGGTTTTGTGCGGGAAATTCCAAACACATGTGGAATTGTTCTTCAAAAATTCGGTTGTAGAAACAGAAAATCGACAAGTCGGACGTGTCCTTCAGCATTTCATCCAAATTATCCACCATTTTGGTGTGGAACTGTATCATATCCACTAATTGGGCGAGTATTTTGCAATCGGACAATCTTATGGGCGACTTGGCTGTGGACATGAAAGTTTGCAGCCTAAACCAGTCAAGACGAAACGCGAAAAAGTTGAAGGTTTCGTTTTCTTCTACCTGCTTTACAGACAAGGTTGCGATTGTGTTGACAAAAGAAGTCAGTATGATGCCCTCTTCTTCAGGGCAGCTTTGTATTTTCTGAATTATATCTTTTAAAACTAGCGCATCGTACTGCGCCAAATATTGTACATAGTACCTCTGCATTACCTGGCTGTATTTTCTCACCAACACCCTTAAGTCTTCCATGTGAAATAGCAGTTCAGGTAGGTGTCTATCAACTAAATCCTCTGTTTGTTTTCCTTTGGTTTTGTGCTGAGGCGGGTTTTCATGGTGCCTTAGCAACCATAAGACTTCATCTCGTGCATAGCAGAGCCCAATAAAAATCATCAATGCCTTTGGACCCAGAAGTCCAGGTTGATCCATGAAAATTAACCCCAACTCTTTCAGGGCAGTTCTCAGGAATTTTCTTCGCTCCCTGTGACAATAACCAGCTTTTTGAACGGCAGTGTTATAACAATCTTTCACCTCAGATACTTTTTTGCTGTAGCCTTTAAGAGAATCGAAAAACGACCAGATGTATTGGTGAATGTGAACTACTTCGTCTCTAAATAAAGGAATTACCCATGATGACTCCAAGGCGTTTATAAATAGTTTATTAAATTTTTCATTTTGAAGGCATGGGTAGTACAAGAGAATCCCAAAAATAATCCATCTTTCCATGGTGTCCAAAGATAAAAACTCGCATGACATTTTCTCAACAGAGACTGGTTTCAGAATATTTCCTGGGTTTCCTACTAGACTTAACTTATAATCTGATCTCCATGCATCGGCAGTAACATTTCTTGGAATAAATACAGGATACAGAGAATCTATCGCTGATATTAAAAGTTTGGAGTGGGGCACAAATTCCTCACACAATTTTTTAAATGGTACATCATAATCCATAATCATAGCTCCTAATCGAGGAAAACTTTGGTCTGGAGAACCATGTACAATTTCATAGGCAGCATTGAATAAACCGAGAACTGCTTTACGATCTTCCACTCTTGATAGTAAAACCATTAAGGACACATAAGAAGTAACTAAATCTAAATAGTGTTTGGTTAGTTCAAAGTTTACAGCTATGTCTAAATCCACTTGAAAAGCATCCATACTCGTAAGCAACTCACAAACATGATCTTTAAAATCCAACAAATCCACGAATGTGTAATAGTAAAGAGATAAAGATTTTATTATTTCATTCTTTAAATTGTGTATGGGTGCCAAACTTTTAACATCTACATTAGGGAACCTCCTTACAATGGTTTTTATAGATGATTCCAGATTTTTGTCAGATAAAAATCCCGGTTTAGATTTTGCATCGCCGCAAGCCTTTTTTATGTTGTATATCCTTGTTAACATCCCAATCCCTCTATCATTTAGGATGATTAATTTTTCGGCGATCTTCCGCTCGTTCATGTTCATGTGCCGAGACATCGTAAATGCTAAAAATTAAAACATGTTACGGGTTATTTGTGTAACCATGCATTCTTACCGTTTAATTAGCTTTTATTGGATTTAAATTACTATTTTTTCACTTATAAATAAAACATTGTTAATGTAAATAATACTGTCAAATGTACGTCAAAGGTCTAAGGCGGTGTCTGAAAAACGAACTCTGTGGATGGCGAAAAGAGGGACGAGCAGAGAATTAATAGAATACTGTAAAAATACGCATTAGTTCTATATATTGCCAAGAGGGGAACATCGTTAAGTTTGTTTGGGTAGATAAAGATAGAGGGCGCCATTATTTTTTAACGAAATTGCTTAGTTTGAAATACAATTGACCAAAATTAGCCTTGGTCGGAAAAAATATGGCATTGTCGCAACCAAACACCAAAAAAAATATAAATTTTACGAAAATTTAAAGTACTATTTAAAATATGTAAATTTAATGAAAAACTGCTTATTAATGTTTTATTTTTTCAAATATGCCTTTTTACAAATTCAGTTAAAATCCCAGCTACCTACCTTAGGTAGGCTACCAATAAGTATACATTCAATTTTACTTAAGGTAGTAACGTTTTTTTATTTATATAAACTGCGCACCACTCAATGTGTCGCGACCAAAAAGTTCGTTCTTTTTCAAAACGACATAACTTTTTTGTTTCTTGAACTATTTTATTTTGGTCTGTAATGTCTACTAGCCCCATCCTCTGGCAATTCACGCTATAGATATAAAGCTCCCGCGGGATCCCGGTTCTTCAAGTAAATTTCCTACAGGGTGATATGTTAAACGGTGAAAAATCCAAGCCCCGTTTGTAACAAAATAATTTTTTTCTCGTTTTTACTTTAAAATAATGAAGTATTATGTCTTACCTTGTACCGTTTTTCAAATTTTTCGAATTGGAATCTTAGCAACGAAAATATGATTTTTTTTCAAAATAGTACTTTTAAGGTTTTTTTATAGGCAATACACTCTTTTTAGGAACAAGAAAATAACATTTTGGTGAAAATTTGAGAAAACTAAACCTAAACCGATATTTACGTTCGTGGCATGTTTTATTATTAATTTTGACCTCCTGATTGTGATTCAGTTATCAAATTTAAGTTTCAGATAAAACCAAAATCACCAAGAATCCAGATTCGAAAACAATTCCCGGATGTTATAAGTTATAACTTATAACATTTATAAATGTCTCAATAAAATACGATTGCTGAGTTTTACAATTTTTTTACTGTGATTTGCATCTTTAGTACGATATTATCATGTCGCTGAATAATTAAATCGAGGATCAAATAAAAATTAATTCTTGAAAAACATTTAAAACGCATTATGAGGGATATTCTTGATTTTTTCAGTTTGCTTGTGTTTTTCAAAAAGTTTTTTTGTATAAGTTAACTTAATTATACCTACCTATCCACATACCTACCCCTATCTTACCTGCAGGTTACTTCCATTCTAACATCTCCAAATCAACGGTTCGCATAATATTTCACGAAACAGAAGACAAGGCCTTGCCGGGTGGCTTTTAGGAGGAGTGACTGTTTGGGGTGGAATGGCGATGAATGGAAAGAGTGAATGCTGAGAGATATAGAGATTTGGTTGTTAGTGATATCGTGGTCCCTTATGCTCAAAATGTTGCCAATAATTGGTGTTGGTGGACGACAATGCCCGTCCGCATCGCGCCAATATCGTAAATGAGTATTTAAGGGACCACCATATTGAGAGAATAAATTGTCCACCTTTGTCTCCGGATATGAATCCTATTGAGCATGTGTGGAGCAGGATGAAACTGAAGATGAAAGAGAGGGAAGGACGCATGGAAAATTTGGATGAATTGGTAAATGCTATTCAGAAAGAATGAGGTATTTTTGTTATTGTTACATTTATAATATATAATATTTTCCAAAAAGAATAAACATTTTTTTATTTAACTTTATTACCAATTAGGTAGGTACTTATCAGTGATAACTTATCACTCATAAATTATCACTAGTGCGCAATGTAAATGTAACTTATGTTACATTTAGGGTTGCCAACTTTCGGTTATTGAAATAAAGGACAAATTGGGATTTTTTTTTGGGTGCCACGTCTACTTTACAGCTTTTCCGATTTTTTTTTCGGACGAGGTGGTGTAGAAGGGGCACCGCTTGACGTAGATGTCTGTGACTTTGGGACATCATCACTTGCATTGATTGATGATGTTTAGCAAAAACCTGCAAATAAATAATGATTTGGCATTTAGGCAACTATAGTACAATATAATTGTTTAAAATAGAAAATGCTACTTTTAATTTTCCAATTAAAGTTTAAAAATATATTGCGACAAAAAACTGAAATCTAATAATATAATTTTAATATTGTATTTTCCACTTAACGTTAAAAAGTTGTAAAATAAGGTTAAAAAAAAACACATTACACACAGGGACTAGTCGAATACACACAAGGGCTCAACACGAGGAACAAAATAAAAATACAAGGTATGCTGGATAAATTGGAGCTCGGGGATTTACCAAAATATTTCAAATGTTAACAATTGCCAATTTTACATTTTATGGTATTTGTATGGGCCTTTTTTGAAATAATTGTGGATTTATCTGTATTTCCGGATTTTAAAGGACATTTGCCGTCCTTTTACACCTTTTAAAAGGACAAAGGACAGTATTTAGAAATAAAGGACTGTCCTTTGAAATAAAGGACGGTTGGCAACCCTAGTTACATTATTCTAACCACTCAAACAAATTGCAGTAATTTCGCCCAAAAAATTATTCAAGGAACATTCTTTCACCATTTTATCTTATTGTTCTTAAAAAGACCGACTGTATTGCCTACCAAAAACCCTTAAATGTATACTCTTTAAAAAAAAAATCATATTTTCGTTGCTAAGATTCCAATTCGAAAAATTTGAAAACCGGTACAAGTTAAGACATAATACTTTATTATTTTAAAGTAAAAACGAGAAAAAAATTATTTTGTTACAAACGGGGCTTGGATGAAGTTATTGAAATTTTTCACCGTTTTACATATCACCCTGTACGAAATTTACTTAAAGAACCGTGAACTTTATATCTATAGCGTGAATTGCCAGAGGATGGGGCTAGTAGACATTACAGACCAAAATAAAATCGTTTAAGAAACAAAAAAGTTATGTCGTTTTGAAAAAGGATGAACTTTTTGGTCGCGACACATTGAGTGGTGCGCAGTTTAGTTGGCAAATTCTAGGGGTCCCAAATTCATAATTGACTACATTTAGTAAAAAAATTATTTAGGGCCGGTTTATCAATGTCCAGTTAAAGTTGCAGTTAGTTTTCTGGCAGATAATTTTCATGGAATTACATGAAAATTATCTGCCAGATAACTAACTGCAACTTTAACAATTGTTCTCACAACAATCGATAAAGAATTAAACTGTCAGATAAACCAGCCCTTAGTGGATTTATTTATGCAGCACAAATTAATTATTTCACCAAAATGATGTTTTATTTTTAAAATTTCTTTTCGTTTATAATTGTTATCTTTGGCATTGTTTATTATAATTCTAACAATTAAATAATATATAATAATACCTAATTGCAAAGTAAAATTAAGGCAATTGATTCTTAAAAGGTGTTACTTGGTTGGACTCTTATTATATTCGTTGGACAGAAATAATAGACCATCCCTGTTGATGGGAAAACCCATTTAAGCCGAAGTCTTCAGCCAATCTTCAATTTCGTTCCCCAGAACGCATGCAGGACCTACCTTCCCGGATGTTTCGGGAGCACTTTCATCTAATTTATGTCTAAGAGTTGTTCTGTGCCAATTGGCACAAATTTTACTAGCCTTTAATACCGACATTCCAGTTTTAATAGATTCGAAGGCTCTCTTGACTGCATCAGGACTGTAATTAAGAGGCCTATTCTCTTTCTTGCTGTTCGTAAACATCGATTTCTTAAGATGTATGTTCACCCAACGACAACCCAAACATCACCTATGTTTAAGGCTATTCCGTTTCTCATATCGACCCATGCAACGAAGACTATTGTAACTCAGTTTTGATTGTAAACTAGAGTAACTCAACTTAATATAGTTTTTGTAGGAATGTGGATTATTACACTTACTATACAGGGAAGTTGTTCACTGGTTGCCTATCGTTTTATGTCTGAGTTACTGTCCCTAGGGACAGTAACTCAGACATAAAACGATAGGCAGCTGCTTAAAATACCCCATTGAGACCCTGTTCAAACCGATAGATATTTGTATCGGGATGTATGGTGTTTCTATAGGGTGTATCGGTTTGTATAGGACCCATAGTTGAGATTTATGGTTGTTCTATAGGGATATCCACCATTGATTTATTTGCTATCGGTTTCAATGGGGAAAATACACATAAATGTAGAAATTAGTTTTTTCCCTATAGGACACCATAGGTTTTAATAAAATTTTGTCAAATGTTTTATGGTTGCTCTATAGGGATATCCCTATATATCCTTCATTGAGTTATTTTTTATCGGTCTCAATAGGGAAAATGTAAAAGTTATGGTGGTAATTTCCTATACATGTTCTATCGGGCTGTATCCGGAAAAAACCATGGACAAATGCACATATTGAATCCGGTAACGCCCGATAGATTATTTTGTAGGTCTCTATGGGGTATTTTAAGCAGGGGTAATCTTCCAACAAATAGAGCTTGAAAACAGCGATAAATGTTTCTAGAACAGAGAGTATCTTTGTTTTATAACCTAAAAGTCGCAGATAGTAAACTAAAATTGTGTTAGATAATTATTTTAAAAATCATTGGTGATATTTAATATATTAAATGAACTTAAAAACAACTTAGGAAAATCCACAAATTCTAAAAATACTTGGGAAAAACGTTTTATGCTGAACTAGCCAAAGCACAGATCTTCTGGTGGGGCCATCCTTATATGGAAAAGGGTAATCATAAAATATCTTAAAATAATTATTTGTTACTTATTTTTACACACTTTTAGTGCACTAGTATACTAGTGCACTAAAAGTCAATACCTACATGTATTGAAAATGGCAAGAAAACTACGCATTTCTCTCACGGAGACTGGCAATGTCGGGGAGCCAGTAAAACAAAAAATATCCTTGTTTTTTTCATAAACAAGGGTAATATTATGATAATTTTC